TGAAGGGCGAAAACATGGCCTTGCAGGCCTGTCCGTCTGGCCCAGGGTTTCCTAAACTTGGGTCTCCAGCTGTTTTTGGACTACAATTCCCATCATCCCTAGCTAGCAGGACCAGCGGTCAGGGATGGTGGGGATTGCAGTCCAAAAACAGCCGGCGACCCAAGTTTGGGAAACTCTGGCCTGGCCTGGGGAATTCTCCCCAGGCCCCGCCCCTAACTGGCCCTGCTTTGCACACCTACCCCCCCTTGATTTTTTTGCCTGGTTGGAAATGTCCTTGAACTCTGGCAGTGTGTTATGTACTGAGTTGAGTAGGATCCAAAATGCAGCAGTCTGATTGGTCCTAGAACAATAGGATTCAGAATGCAGCAGTCTGAATGGTCCTAGAACAATGCAGCAGTATGATTGGTCTGCAGGAGCCACCCAATCCGGCTTCAGATGGAAGTGAATCCACAACCTGATTGGCCTACAGGAGAATTCCAGAATTAGCCAATCATGTGCAGCCCATTGTGTAAATAATGTATATAAAGCAGATACTTTGAGGGGACTTTCATTCCTCCTCACCACTATGAGCTGAATAAAGAGCATGAAATCCACTCTCGACTCTGAGTATATTTCACAGTGCCTCTTGCTAATTTGGATAGAGAAGTGTGCAAGTGTGTGTAGAAGCTAGCCAGGGTAGCCTACCGCACAATGGCGACATTTTCATTAATGCCTCCACCCACCTTCGCCTCTGGCTCCACCTGCCTCTGGCATGGGGGCCTTGGAAGGTTGCCTCCTTCATTGTGGCAACAGGGCTCTCTGAAACTCCTTTCCTGCCTCCTTTCCTTCCGTGGTCATCCGCCTTGTTACGTCCACTGTTTGTTTAGCGCACTGTTTGATTTATCTCCTCAAGGTTCTTTGCTGACTGTTGCTGCTATATTCTATTGTTTGTTTCATTGAATTTTATTATTTTAATATTTGATTAATTATCCGATTGTCAGCCACCTTGATGGAGGGTGGGATGCCCCATTTCAGGAACAAAAGACATTTTCATTAAACAAGCAACCTTGTCCAGAAAAGTGGCAGACTATCAAAGTGCCCTGTTTTCCAGGGACGTCCCTGATTTAGAGAAGCTGTCCCAGTTTCCCACTTTTCATAGAATCATAGAATAGAATCATAGAGTTGGAAGAGACCACAAGGGCCATCGAGTCCAACCCCCTGCCAAGCAGGAAACACCATCAGAGCACTCCTGACATATGGTTGTCAAGCCTCTGCTTAAAGACCTCCAAAGAAGGAGACTCCACCACACTCCTTGGCAGCAAATTCCACTGTCAAACAGCTCTTACTGTCAGGAAGTTCTTCCTAATGTTTAGGTGGAATCTTCTTTCTTGTAGTTTGGATCCATTGCTCCGTGTCCGCTTCTCTGGAGCAGCAGAAAACAACCTTTCTCCCTCCTCTATGTGACATCCTTTTATATATTTGAACATGGCTATCATATCACCCCTTAACCTCCTCTTCTCCAGGCTAAACATGCCCAGCTCCCTTAGCCGTTCCTCATAAGGCATCCTTTCCAGGCCTTTGACCATTTTGGTTGCCCTCCTCTGGACACGTTCCAGTTTGTCAGTGTCCTTCTTGAACTGTGGTGCCCAGAACTGGACACAGTACTCCAGGTGAGGTCTGACCAGAGCAGAATACAGTGGCACTATTACTTCCCTTGATCTAGATGCTATACTCCTATTGATGCAGCCCAGAATTGCATTGGCTTTTTAGCTGCCACGTCACACTGTTGCTCATGTCAAGTCTGGTCAACCAGGACTCCTAGATCCTTTTCACATGTACTGCTCTCAAGCCAGGTGTCCCCACCTTGTATTTGTGCCTCTCATTTTTTTGCCCAAGTGCAATACTTTACATTTCTCCCTGTTAAAATTCATCTTGTTTGTTTTGGCCCAGTTCTCTAATCTGTCAAGGTCGTTTTGAAGTGTGATCCTGTCCTCTGGGGTGTTAGCCACCCCTCCCAGTTTGGTGTCATCTGCAAATTTAATCAGGATGCCCTTGAGTCCATCATCCAAGTCGTTGATAAAGATATTGAATAAGACCGGGCCCAAGACAGAACCCTGTGGCACCCCACTAGTCACTCTTCTCCAGGATGAAGAGGAACCATTGATGAGCACCCTTTGGGTTCGGTCAGTCAGCCAGTTACAAATCCACTGAGTGGTAGCATAGTCAAGACTGCATTTTACCAGCTTCTTTACAAGAATATCATGGGGCACCTTGTCAAATGCCTTGCTGAAATCAAGGTAGGCTACATCCACTGCGTTCCCTTCATCTACCAGGCTTGTAATTCTGTCAAAAACGAGATCAGGTTAGTCTGACATGACTTATTTTTCAGAAATCCATGCTGACTATTGGTGATCACAGCATTCCTTTCTAGGTGCTCACAGACTGTTTGCTTAATGATCTGCTCCAGAATCTTCCCTGGTATTGATGTCAGACTGACTGGGCGGTAATTATTTGGGTCCTCTCTTTTCCCCTTTATGAAAATAGGGACAACATTTGCCCTCCTCCAGTCTGCCGGGACTTCGCCTGTTCTCCAGGAATTCTCAAAGATGACTGCCAGTGGTTCTGAGATCACATCTGCCAGTTCTTTTAATACTCTTGGATGCAGTTCATCTGGCCCTGGAGACTTGAATACATCTAAACTAGCCAAGTATTCTTGTACTATCTCCTTAGTTATTCTGGGCTGTGTTTCCTCTGCTGAATCATTTGCTCCAAATTCTTCAGGTCGGGCATTGTTTTCTTTATCGGAGAAGACTGAGGCAAAGAAGGCATTGAGGAGTTCAGCCCTTTCTGTGTCCCCTGTTTGCATTTCACCATCTTCTCCTCTGAGTGACCCCACTGTTTCTTTGTTCTTCCTTTTCCTACGAACATACCCATAAAAGCCTTTTTGTTGCTTTTAACCTCTCTAGCAAGCCTGAGTTCATTCTGTGCTTTAGCTTTTCTGACTTTGTGTCTACACGTGCTGGCTATTTGTTTGAATTCCTCTTTGGTGGTTTCCCCCTTTTCCATTTTTGTACACATCCTTTTTTAATCTTAACTCAGTTAAAAGTTCTTTAGATAGCCACCCTGGCTTCTTTAGGCACCTTCCATGTTTCCGTCTCATTGGTATTGCCTGACGTTGTGCTTTTACTATCTCCCTCTTAACAAACTCCCAGCCATCATGAACTCCCTTTCCTTTTAGTATTACTGTCCATGGGATCTCACCCAGCCCTTCCCTAAGTTTTATGAAGTCGGCTTTCTTAAAGTCAAGAAATTGAGTCCTAGTATGCTTGGCTGCTCCTTTCCGCTGTATAGTAAACTTCAGAAGAGCATGATCACTCACGCCTAATGATCCTTCCACTTCTACCCCACTAACCAGGTCATCAACATTGGTTAGGACCAGATCTAAAATGGCTGTTCCTCTTGTTGCTTTTCCTTAGGATGTCCCTATTTTTACTGGAGAAATGTTGGAGGGTATTGAGTTATCCAGCCCCTGAGCTGTCTGAAGGCAATCCTGTATAGGAAAGGGTTTTTTAAAACAAAATTTTATATTTTATTATGTTTTTATATAGGTTGGAAGCTGCCCAGAGTGGCTGGGGCAACCCAGTAAGATGTGTGGAGTATAAATAGAACAGTTGTCATTATGGAATGGGACGTCCCTATTTTCATCAGAGAAATGTTGGAGGGGTGCATGAAATAATATATTAGAGGAGGATCTTTCCTCTCTCTTTTTACCCTAATGCTTCAAGGACTGATTAGAACAGCAGTAGTCAACATGGTGCCCTCCAGGTGTTTTGCACTCCAGCCAGCCTGCCTAATGGTCAGGGATGATGGGAGTTGTCACCTACAACATCTTCAGGGTGTCCTGGTTTAGAGTGCACAGTGCATGTGTTTCCAAACATGAGATCTAAGAGCACACCCTAGTTGGTTCAAACAATCTGAGGGATGAGCAAGAAGACATAAATCTGAATCCTTCATGACAAAATTTTGGTGCTAGTTTTAGGCATTTAACTCATAAGATGAGTGTTATTCAGACACAGAGCAAACCAAAGTGAAATGGCTTCTCTGGCAATCACCCACCTGTTGCTAAGGCCCAGGATTTCCTTTTGCCAAACTTCAAGAAGAATCACAGCGTTTGCATCCTTCTCTCTATTGCAGCATCAATGGAGGCATCGCCGCAAAGCCTGCTGACAGTTGCTTCCCCATTTCTCTTTGCAAGCATCAGCCCTGGGCCAGGACAACATTGTGCGCCGCAGCCAATGCGAACGAGTTGTCACCAGGTTCTTCTTTCAGCCTTTAAAAAGCCTTTCTCTGCTACCTGGCAATCGGCCCTTCCAAACATTGGTTTGTCTTATCACCAGCACAACACAGCCCATTCATTAGCGAAATTCCTTTCAGAGCAGACTACAATGGCTCCTGACAAATTGTTGCTGCCATGTCTGTAAACAAAATCGAAAGTATCAAGGGCTTGGGGTTTGCTGCTGTCCAGACATCTTTAAAGGGAGAAAAGGAACACCAGCAGGGACCAAATTAATATTTCAGAGTGGAGAGATGCAAATGTGATGCCGAGAGTTGCCAGATCCTTGTTTCCCATGCCAATGTGACTGCGCAGACAATGAATGTCTGTACCTCAATGTGGGCATGAAGATTTTGATCGGGGGCTTTGCCAACCCATCTTTATCATCAGCGCAAGGCAGTCTGAAGATGTACAGAGTTTCATAATGGCTACCTTCCCATTTCCCTTTCATAGTATTTGCGCTTACAAAGTGCTTCCGTGGGAATATGCTTCCGTGGTACATATGCCTGGTGTGTGGTTTATTAAAAAAATGTTGATTAAATACCTGAATGAAAACGTCTGTAGCTCTGCCAGGCTGTTTCCTTTCCTGATCTATATATTGTGCACAAATGGAGACGTGGCAGGGAATGTCTGCTGAGTTCTGCTCAAGCTTTGCCTGTCCTTCCACAAATCCCCTTTGACCAACATGGATGTAGCTCAGTTGGTAGAGCACGAGACTCTTAATCTTTGGGTCATGGGTCCGAGCCCCATGTTGAGCAAGAGATTCCTGCATTGCTGGGGATTGGACTAAATGAGCCTCTTGGTCCCTTCCAACACTACAATTCTTTGATTCAAGGATGGGGAGTCTCATAACTGTCCTCGGACCACATCCTTCCCAGGCTGCGCTTCATCCCATGAGCGTTTTTGTCTAGCTGAAGTGTCTGCTCAGAAGGATGGTGGTTCGAATCCCCACAATGGGGTGAGCTCCCGTTGCTCTGTCCCCGCTCCTGCCAACCTAGCAGTTTGAAAGCAAGCCAGTGCAAGTAGATAAATAGGTACTGCTCCGGCGGGAAGGTAAACGGCATTTCCGTGCACTGCTCTGGTTCGCCAGAAGTGGCTTAGTCATGCTGCCGCATGACCCGAAAGCTGTCTGCGGACAAATGTCGGCTCCCTCCGCCTATAGAGCGAGATGAGTGTGCAACCCCAGAGTCGTCCACAACTGGACTTAACTGTCAGGGGTTGTTGTTTAGTCATTTAGTCGTGTCCGACTTTTCGTGACCCATGGACCAGAGCACACCAGGCACTCCTGTCTTCCACTGCCTCCCGCAGCTTGGTCAAACTCATGTTGGTAGCTTCGAGAACACTGTCCAGCCATCTCGTCCTCTGTCATCCCCTTCTCCTCGTACCCTCCATCTTTCCCAGCATCAGGGTCTTTTTCAGGGAGTCTTCTCTTCTCGTGAGGTGGCCAAAGTACTGGAGCCTCAGCTTCAGGATCTGTCCTTCCAGTGAGCACTCAGGGCTGATTTCCTTAAGACTGGGTAGGTTTGATCTTCTTGCAGTCCATGGGACTCTCAAGAGTCTCCTCCAGCACCATAATTCAAAAGCGTCAATTCTTTGGCGATCAGCCTTCTTTATGGTCCAGCTCTCACTTCCATACATCACTACTGGGAAAACCATAGCTTTAACTATACAGTCAGGGGTCCCTTTACTTTTACCTTGCTTGTCTGCATGAAGGATAGAGAGGAGGAGTTTGTGTAGAACTTAGCCTACTGTCCTAAGGTCAAAGGATCAATGGTTGTGATTTCTTGCTTCCATGGGAATGTTTCTGCAATCATTCTTGCCAGGAAACAAGGAATAGTAAGACATGGTATAATCTGATAATGTAATTCAGTCATTCTCGTCAACTTTTTCACATGTACTGTATGTCCTCCGTTCTTTGGGTTTCTTTGTAACAAGGCTGTCTGTTGCCTAAGGGTGGGGTGGGGGGTTGTTCGTGTATTCTTTTTAAAAAACCATATTGTTCTTTATACTTGTTTATTTGCATATATTGAAAATGCTTAATAAAAATATGCTGCTTCCGCTTCTTTTTACAAAACCAACTTATTTTAAAAACTGTTAGTAGTTTTTCAGGAGGGCAATTTAGACCTAGAAAATGGAGGGGAAGGGTTAATCAGCTCCTCCACCACTGCTATAAAACTGAGCCCCACCCTGCCAGGGCTTTAAGAGAGAACAGAAACTGAGCTGGGTACAAAAGCAGCAGTGGGGCTGAGGAACAGGGCTAGTCTGGACAGAAGGAAGCGCACAGCTAACCGATGTATAATTTTGCAACTGCGTAAAAACCACATTTCTGGGAAAGTAATCGTGGTGTTTCATTTAGATGCGATGCAATCTGCACACTTCCTCTGAAAGTGCAAAAAGAAGAAACGAAGATAAAGTAATGAACTCCAATGTAATGAATCTTTACGCCTGTATTCCATTCAAGGACTTGGAGTGATGTTCTAGCCTCACTGCAAATAGCCACAAATAGACACAGTCTACCCAAGTGAGCTTCATGGCAGAATCTATAACTTGGATTTCCTGCCTCTCATCTTAATGCCATGGCCTTTGATGCAATGCACACTGGGTCCAAAATACAAAATTCATTTGTACAGAGTCAATAAGAAAGGCCAGGCAGATAGAAAGCTGCCTTATACTGAGTCAGATCATTGGACTATCTAGGTCAGGGGTCAGCAAACTTTTTCAGCAGGGGGCCGGTCCACTGTCCCTCAGACCTTGTGGGGGGCCAGACTATATTTTGGAGAGAGAGAAAATGAACTAATTCCTATGCCCTACAAATAACCCAGAGATGCATTTCAAATAAAATGACACATTCTACTCATGTAAAAACACGCTGATTCCCAGACCATCTGGGGGCCAGATTTAGAAGGCGATTGGGCCGGATCTGGCCCCTGGGCCTTAGTTTGCCTACCCATGATCTAGGTTAGCATTGCCTGTTCCAACCAGTGTTTCTCCAGGATATCATACAGGTCATTCCCAGTACAATTTGGAGATCCCTGGAATTGGCCCTGGTCCCTGCTGCATGCAAAGCAGGTGCATGGGATAAATCCCAGTTTTTCAATTCAAAATTCATTTTCATTTAATCCATACCCTTTGCTAGATTCTTCTCACACATATTTCAAGAGGGACCCTAGCATTTATAAATTCATGTATCATTCAGAACTGATCCAGTAAGTGTGTCTATCTGGGCAAAGTATCTCTTAAATCAGGGGTTAGCAACCTTTTTCAGCTGTGGGCCGGTCCACCATCCCTCAGACCTTGGTGGGGGGCCAGAATGTATTTTGAAAAAAGGGAAATGAACAAATTCCTATGCCCCACAAATACCCCAGAGATGCATTTTAAATAAAAGGACACATTCTACTCATGTAAAAACACGTCCGCGGGCCGGATTGAGAAGGCAATTGGGCCGGATTCGGCCCCTGGGCCTTAGTTTGCCGACCCCTGTCTTAAATGGACATTGTAGGAGAGTGCAGATTGAAGAAGAGGATAAAGATAATTCCTCTGCTAAGTTTCTGCTTGAGCTTTAAAGCAGAGAGATACAATTTATTTTCTCATGACCTGTAGTTTATTTTGTTTCAAACTTCTGCAACCATATTATGAGGCAAATGATGTATTTCTTCATGTTCCCTCAACTGCGCGCTATTCACATTTACATCACCCATATTTTGCTGTAAAAGTTGTGGAAAATTGCAAATGTGGTTGGTTGTCCATCCATAAATATTTCCCTATTACAGTTGATGGTAAAATCTGCTATCCTGGAAAATCCAAAATTCTCAAACACACAAGCCCAATCATATAGCAACATGCCCACTTAAAAAAAGAAAGAAAAAAGGTTGTGAAAATCAGCTCTTTTCTTCCTTGCCCATCATTCCTTGTGTCAGAGTGGTGCCTAGTTGGCAGCCATCAAGATGTATTGTAAATCAATGAGAAAAACTGTGATGAATTAGACAGTAGGTTCAGTTATATCAACATCCAGCTCTATCTATCAAAGGCACGTTTTTGTGCTTGGGTGAAAACTTCCACTTAGAGAAGGGCTGTTTTGCAACTCACACCCAAGTGTTGCACAAGAAAAGTGAAACTAAGTCTTAATATATCATTGTTTGTTCAAGCATTTGAGCAACAGGGCAAGTGGCTATTTTCCTTCTGGTCATGACTTTTCGGATTAAACACTCTCTTTTCAAAAGTGCCTTCCATATGCTCTCCAAAAAGCTGACAAACAAACTCTGTTACTTATTCCTAGGATTCAGTATCCACAGGTATAACTGCCTCTGAATATAGATTTTCCATTTTAACTACCTGGAGGTACCAGGGTTTGAACCTAAGATCTTCTAAATGCCAAGCAGATGCCCCCCTACCACAAAGCTTTGGCCCTTCCTCATTTACCAGGCATAGTGTCAAGCTTGGTGTGTAATAAATGGAAAGAAAAACAATTATCCTGAGACTGGGGGAAAGGGTGGAATTCTGAATGACTCTTTAAAAAAGAAAATCGTGTGCACAGTTGAGGATGCTTTAAAAACAGCTTGTTTCGTAAAATCTAGTTGCGAAATGCCAGGGAACAAAACAAGAACGTTGGGTTTTGTCCAGATTAATTCCACAACAGTAGAAAGACACATGTTGGCAATTATTAGCAGAGTGATTGCAACCAATAAAAAATAATAAGAAATGCTGGATTCTCATTTTTATTTAATGGGAGAGGGCAGGAGAATGGCAAACGTTTTGGACATTGTTGTCGCCTCCACTTTCCCGAAGCTTTGGCTGGGTTAAGGTGGCCATCTGCAGAGCTGCAGCCCCGGAGTGCTGGCCTGGGACCCATCCCTCAAAGAGCAACAGGTCCTGAGGCTCTAGAGACAAGTGGTTTTGTGCCAGTGTAGCCCAGAAGCCCCAGTTCTGAACAGAGTTATCTACATGATATTTGAGAGAGGAGGGTGGGGGAGAAGTAGCTTCCCACAGGGCTTGCCCTTTCCCCTTGTCCCCTAATATTCCCCACCCCCTTTAGAAATTTAGCATGCGGAACAAAGCTCATCACCTCATCATAATATAATTATAATATGTATAATATTAATATTATTATTATTATTACCTCAGTCGGCATGTATGGCAGTATAGTACTTGTGTGTGAAAGGGTGTGTCATGTATTTCAGCTCTGGGTTGCAAAGAACAGTTAGTTTTACAAGTGTGTGTGTGTGTGTGTGTGTGTGTGTGACAACTTCCAGAGGAGCCATCTGATTAGATTGTAATGAATTACTCTGAAGTCATTTTGGCACCAGGTGGAAAAGAAAATCACCCCAACACCCTCTTTCCCCTTGCTCCTGGCCTGCCCACTGCCAACCTGTCTTGTATTTTTCCAGAACAAAGATGGCAGCCCTATTCTCCCACCAATACCAACCCTGATCTCTCCCCCCCACACACCTCTCTTCTCCCCCAACCTTATGCTGTCAAAAACATTAGTGTCTCACTTTGATAACAGATCTCTATAAAGGACTCTATGAACTGAAACCAGAGACATAGTATGTACTTCTGTAACCCAAGAAAATATTTAATAAAAACAATGGGGGGGGGGGGAATCCTGGGACTATAGGTCCCATCATCCCTGTTGGCTGGGGAGGATGGGAGCTGGAGTCCCAATAACATCCTGTTCAGTACCACTCAGCAGGAGCCCATATTGTTTTCTTGCTATGCTTTCAAGCAGGGATACGTATCACTAAAGGCAAATTAATAGTACTTTGAGAGTGACTACACGTGCTTTGTAAATTTAGAACACATTGCTTGTGAATGATGGGAATTCTAATTTAAAATGTAAACTACTCAAGGCTGAAGTCATTTTATATATATATATAAAAATGCCACTTTGTAAAGGTTGTTCAGTGAAGTTTGATAAAAAGTTACAACTGCAGTCATTGAAAAAAATCAAGACTAAATGAAACAGAATAACTAAACTATAATGCAAAAGTTAATACCTTTATTAGGACTAATCGGTTTAGGCTGTTACCCTAACCTACTTCCAGTGCCTACTGTTTTACACTTGAGACTATTTAAACTCATGAATTTTATTCTTTTGCTGTATTTACAAATTAAGTGAGCGTGTCAGATGCAACCTATAGTGGGGTGACTCTTGATAGTGTAATAGGGGTAATATATATTGTATAAAAGGGACGTGGGTGTCGCTGTGGGTTAAACCACAGAGCCTAGGACTTGCCGATCAGAAGGTCAGCGGTTTGAATCCCTGGAATGGGGTGAGCTCCCGTTGCTCGGTCCCTGCTCCTGCCAACCTAGCAGTTCAAAAGCACATCAAAGTGCAAGTAGATAAATAGGTACCGCTCCGGCGGGAAGGTAAACGGTGTTTCCGTGCGCTGCTCTGGTTCACCAGAAGCGGCTTAGTCATGCTGGCCACATGACCTGGAAGCTGTACGCTGGCTCCCTCGGCCAATAAAGCGAGATGAGCGCCGCAACTCCAGAGTCGGCCATGACTGGACCTAATACTCAGGAGTCCCTCTACCTTTACCTATATTATATAAAAGCGAACAAGAAACAAAGGAAGCAGTTAAATAAATATTGGAAGGTGCACTGAGGCCTTTTTAAAGCAGCTGCTCGCTCCTGGCGTGTATGTCTACTGGAAATGACCAAATCCAACAGGTGCCTCTTCCTCTGGAAAGGCAGGATGATGTTAAACCACGTTGTCCTTTGGGGGGAAAGGGGTCGCTGGCTCCTTTCCCGAGAATCCGCCCCAGCCCTCCCAGGCGCGGGTCCCGCTGCCCTACTCGACGCCCCCGTCGAGGCGAGCGGAAGGCCGCAGGGCGTGGGCGCTGCTGCGAAGGGCGCCTCCTCCTGTCTGGGGCCGGAGCCAGGCGGCGGGAGGAGGCGGGACCGGCTTCCGGAGAAGGGAAGCCCGCACTATTTGTACTTGGCCGGCCTCTCCGGCTCAGTCACTCGCTCTCCGCCTCCTGCCGGGGAAGAAGATGCTGCGCTCGGAGACGACCCTCGTCTTGGCGGCGCTGCTCGCGCTGTTCTGGCCCGCGGGAGGCGACCCGGCGCCGCCGAAGGCAATCGGGAAGGAGCAGCTGCACTTTCGGCTGCCGCTGCACCCTTACACCGCGCTGGCCCGCCGGCCCGCGCAGACGGCCCTCGACTTCTTCAACTACCTGCAGAGCTCGCCCAGCTCTCTGCGGAGTCTGGCGTACGTCAAGAAGGCGTCCGCCAAGGTAAGGCAGGGCAGGGATCCTTGGGCCGAATGGTCGAGGGGGACAGGGAAGCGCACTCTGCACATGGGCAGAGGCGCGGCGCTTTGGAACGCCGCCGGGGGAATCGTTCAAGGGGGCGTGGCTTAAGTAACATGTGGGGTAAGCATTTGTACCGGGAGTGGGGCCCATGGGCGTGGGCAGGGAGGGGCGGCTGCCCCCCTAAATCAATTAAATCAGTACAAAATGCTTAACTGAGGTTCTGCCCCCCACCCACCCCCAATCCTGGCCAAACCCAAGAGACGGGCTTTCTCCAAAATCCACGCGCAGTGTCTGGAACAGAGCCTTCTGTGGTCCTTTGCAGATGGAGTGGACTCTATTCTACAAAAGCAGCTTCTGACTCCTTAATAAGTGTGTCAAGTCCTTAAGGCGTCACAAGACAGCTTTTGCTGCAAAGCAGACTGAAATGGTTCCCCCTATGGAAATCCTCTGTTAATGCCCCCCCCCCCCCCGCAGAGCCATTGTGTCTTTTGAGGTGGCAGAAATGTATAGTGGGCAGTTTGTGTGTGTCTGTCCATTCTGGGGAAAGTTCCACCTGTAAAACTTCTGTCTGACTTGCTAGGAAAAAAGTTGGCAACTCTGCTTGCTCTATGTACAGTACTATGGAATTTTCTTGTAAACATAAGAAAAGGCAGACTGTCATGCAAAAGTTTACCATGTCGATGAGCCCACTGGGTCCTGTCCATGACGTCTGCACTCGATTTGCAGTAAAATGCTGCTTGGTGCAAGGTAGCAGGAAGACCCTCAAGCTAGTGAGAGTGGAACTGGAAAGTTTAAAGAAGTCTCGCCATCACAGTTGGTCTCCAGGGCAACTTGTTTGCTCTGCCTGCTGGGAGTGTGACCAACATGTGTGATGCTCTGGCATAATGCAGGCTGTAGTGATGGTCGCCAACTGTATTCACATTAATGGCTTATAATGCAGCTAGATTGTTCGTTTTTCTCCATTTGGGTTAGAATCCTGGAATGTCAGAGATCTAATCCAACCCTTTGCAATTCAGGAATCTTCTGCCCACCATGGGGCTTGAACCCTTGACCCTGAGATTAAGAGTCTCATTCTCTACTGAGTGAGCCATCCCAACTGGCCTAGGGGAAAACTCGTCAAAACACAATACTTCATAAGAAACAAGAGGATAGGTGCCCAGGGAGATATGGATTGTGGCTAATGCTGTGTGTACGCTGCTTCTGAAATCAGCTGTGGGAGTACACTGGTTGCGGAGTATATGTGTGCAATGCCTTGAAGGGCTTTAAAAGGGATGCGGGATAAGCTTATACATGGTTGAAAATGGACACCAGTTGCTTCAGGACACAGCTGGGGAGAGTAATGTTGCACTCATGGCCTGCTTGCAAGCTTCCCATAGAAGGGACTGTTCACCTAAAAACTCAGTGGTGTGAGCTTTGTTGCTCAACAGTGACAAGTTGCTAATATGCAGAAGGGATGAGTGATCTTTCTTGCTTTTCATGCATGTTTCTGTATGTTAATGACTTGTTGGGTAGCTAAAATTGTAAGGTACTAGAATCGATGTAAATGTGTAGAGGGTCTTTTTGCAATAAAACTGGTTATAACTTCATCCAAGTGTTTAACAATTGGGGCTGTTAAGTCTGGCCATACATCATCACTGTGATATAATGTGGACTTTCAGAAGGGTAAAACTACAAGTCTTAACCACAGTGTAACTTACAGTTTCCTAAAAATGTAAACCTGGCAGCTATAGAATACACTATGTGCATTTCTAATAGCTATTTCATATATTGTAGTGTCAACATTTTTAAATTAAATGTTTTACATTAAAAAAAAAAAGGGACTGTGAAGGCAGAATGAAGGATTAAATAGAACTTTGGTCTGAACTAGCAGGACTCTTTAAGTTCTTGTGATAGGATGGGAACAGCTTGGGCTGAAACTGCACATTTCCAGAGAACTGATGACTCCTAGTACCCAGATGTTGTTTTCATTGGTATTTTGAATCATGAGTTCACCAGAAATTTGTACCCCCAACTCTGAGGAGTCATTGGCAAAGCTGCTAGACTGCAAGTTTTAGCATTGTTCCTGAAGAATGTTTCCAAGAGGGCACTTGTGAACTATTTAGAAAGACAAGGGGGCAGGGTCCTAAAATTTCTGTTACACACAGCTGCTCCAGATGGGATGCTTTATCCTGGTGTTGCCTTGGCAGTGAAATATTTCAGTGTCTGTGTTTGATTTGAAGGAGCTACAGTTTTATTTAGCAGACCTTAGTGGAAGCCGCTTCCTTAGTGCTAAGTTATTATGTCAAACAATGAATACTTAGCAAGAAAATTGCTTAATTCAAATAACATGAGTTTTCTATGTTGAAAATCTTGGTGACCTCCTTTTTCCATTATGCCGTATTTTGCAAACACAATGCTTGATGTTGGAACTCTGTAATCATTTTTCATTAGGGTGGAGGAGCCATAACATTTGAGGTTCGTATACTACACTGTGGGATGGAGATCACATATTATTCAGAATTTGCACCCTGCTTTTTTCTTCTAAAGAAGGCCTAAAGCAGCTAAGCAAAAGAACAACCACCAAAACCCTCATGGCCTTAAAATAGCAATTAACATAATGCCAATGTCAAGATCTAAGCAGAAAAAAATACAACTCTAGTAATCTAAGCAATCAGTACACTATATTTACAAGTGCAGGTAAAATAGCTCAGTCAGAGCTTGAGACACAATATCAGGGTTGTGGGTTCAAGCACCACGTTGGGTGGTGAAAAGATTCCTGCATTGCAGGAGGTTGGACTACGTGATTCTCATGGTCCCTTCCAACTTTGATTCTAAGAAAAGATATACCTAGGCCAACAGACAATGGACAAACTGATGTTATCCTACTCCCAAAGAATCCACGACTACCACCTACGCTCCTCAAAAGATCAACCTCCCAGTCTAATCTGAAATAAAAGATGAAAAGAGAGAGTCTTCGGAGGAAGACACTGCCCTAGCACCATGAGTCATACCTTGGCTTTTGCAGATAAGAGATGAAAGAAAAAGGAAGTGACTCTCATCCTGCACTCTCTTCTTCTCAACGATGGGGAGGCAAAAGTTAGTTTGACAAAACCCCAGAACCCTCAGAGCACAGCCACGCTCATAAAAAAAAAAAAAAGAGGTAAGAGGCTGGAATAGGGCTGGTGCTTGCAGCTTCCCCCAAGGGACAATTGAATGTGTGAACCTCAGCAGAAGTGCCCCATCCCCATCAAATGCAGAAGTGGTTACAAGCAGCCAGATGGAACTACTTTACTGGGTGGGTGGAGTTCCTTCTTCAAGGCATCCAGGTCTCTTTAGGTGTGTCTGCTGAGTGCCTTCAGCAGCAAAAAAAATTCTGGTACCAGGGCAGGGTCTATCAATAGGAAGGTTCCCCCACCCCGCAGCGCCCAGCTGTTCTGACTTATGACACTGGGCTGCTGCTGTGCTCCCTTTAAACCCTGATGAGTGGTTCTTAAGGGGCAGTTTTGCAGATGAATCGCATCCATCACAAATTCCAGAAGAGCCACATATTGGGGCCTGTTATTAAGCCTGATCACATACTGTTTCACCCAGTGTTAAGTTACCAGTCCGTTCTGTCCTACAGAATAAATTAACTTGCAGTATGAATCTTGTAGTAACTTGTAGTATGAATCTCCCCTTAGTTAATCTGGGTAGACTCCCAGTCAGCAGTATGCAGGCAAAGTTCTCACTTCCTCATCATACAAAAGGGAGATGAAGGACACATTGGACCAGGTATTCCCTCTGCCATTTGTCACACATTTTGAGATGCTGTTGATTGTTCTAACATCTCCCAGTTATAATGGCATTAAAATGGTATTGTTATGACTTTGGATCATATATGAATGGCAGGGTTTAGCACAAAACCATAATTCAAAGTTGGCTAATGGCTTTTTCCAAGCAAAACTGGATCGGTTTAATGTGATTGGTTCCTTCTTGCACTGCCTTGTACATTTGTGATTGAATAGTCCCGACTGGGTCAGGCCAGAGGCCTGTCTAGACCAGCATCTTTCCCCCTTAGTATCCAGTCAAATGCCTATGGGAAGTCCACAAGGCCTTGATAGCCTAATCATATTTTAAAGTCCATTGCGACATCTTGTGGCAGTGAATTTCATAAATTAATTAATTCCTTTGTAAAATTCTCTCCTTTCGTATGTCTTGCATTTCCTTCCCATTGGATGTCTCTGAGTTTTCTAGTATAATGAGAGGCATATGAATTTGACAACATACATTTTACAGCCATGCTCACATAATGAGATACAGCTGTTTCAGAATGTTAACAGTAATTTATTTATTTTTGGCACAAAGAGAGAGTAGCCACTTTCCCAATGTTTCCTAAATGAACTTTCAATTTAGGATCTTGTGTGCCAATATCTAAGTGGTTTGAGTTTCCAGGGGTTTCAGGTTTGAGGCACAGCGGAGACTGTGGTGTCTTTATCATATATGGTTTATTTAAAGATGCACACACACACAACCTGAGCCTATGATGGAGGGGTTCACAGTATTAACACCACCAAAAGGGTCTTATTTCTTCCATAGCCACAACCTTTGATTCAAACAGAAACCAAACATTGCTCTCGAACTCTGCTCTCACTCTCTCTAGCTTGCTGCTTTCCTTCTAGGTCACATCACTTCCAAACCCTCTTTCTAACTAACCATTAGCTGGGAAGGTGATCCCACCCATCTGCCGTCTCACACAGAGACTCCTTCCTTTGTTGAGGGAATGGCCCATCTCCTAGGCCATCGCCACAGGAAACTAGCCTGGCTTATATTTTAACACTTGCTGGATCCAGGAGTTAGAAGGGTCTTTGCATAAAGTCTACATCCTCCCCCACCCACTCAAAACCATACAAAGGCTCAGTTGTCAGCAGCAAAGAGAATGGGAATTCGTGATGAAAGCCATTCACACATTTTCAAAAAAATTATGTTATCCAAACAGGCAATGTTTGCTAATGAATAAAATTGTAAGGCCAGGGGTATGTTGTGCTATCCAAGCATGCTAATGAAAAACCAGGCTTGTTGTTTGGATCTCTGGCACAGCCAAGTGCTGATGAGGCTGTATACAGCAGAGGATAAACATATTCAGCCTCACTTGTGAAGATCTCAAAGACCCGCCTGCAAAACTAGTCCAAGTGGGTTAAGACCAAAGCTCTCCTAAGATCTGCTGCTGGCTCTAATCTCCACTTGAATAATAAATCTTGTATTTCATTCTATCCCTTTGAAAATCTGAAGAAATATTCTTAAGCAGGCAGCAAAAAGCCTGGGGCAATGTTTTCTCTCCTCCCCACCCTCTGTTGTATTTCAGAGGTATTCGCTGGGTAGAAAAAGACAAGAGTAAGCATTCTTTGTAATGTTTTACAAAACAAACCAGCTGTCTGGCCAGGATTGAAGAAGGGTGTTTGTTAACATTTCCAGCCTTTGGACTTCATCAAAAGTGTGTTTCTTTGGATGAAGTTTGATCTGAAGCTATTCTTCTATGGAAAGACCTACTGCTTTGGGAGCAGGGCAGGTGGGGGCGGGGGCGGGGAAGACGCAGCACAATTTCATGTGCTCAAAGAACCTATTCAGAACACTCTACCTCCTTGATTCCAGCTTGGCATAAATACTTGCCAGTTCCAGGGACTCCATATATACTTGCTTGGCATGGTAGATGTCACCTTGTGGCTTGCTAAATGCAAGGAGGTTCTTTCAATGAGATTCAGAAGCAATACAAACACAAGGGAGTGAGAAGATTAAAGATCTTATTCTAAACAGCAAGCATTATATACACTACCAAGCAATGACTTTGATCTGCCACTGGGAAGCCTTCAAGAAGTGGCAAAGTGACTAGGTAGCCTTCGTTTGCACGACCCACTGGCCATCAGTTCATGCATGAGCTTCTCAGAACTATGCCCAAGACGCATCTGATTTATAGATAGCTAACTTGTTAGCCTGTGTGCCTTGCTCTGCTAGCTAGTGCAGATTATTATTTCGCTAGTCCCCTCTTCCAATACTGCACATTCCTCCAAACAATGTCTACCATCAAAGAAGGTCAGAAGGTACCCTGCATTATCACTTCTTTCCAACAAATTAAAGGCTGTTCTCAGCCATCAAAGAACAGAACAAGAGATAGAGGGGAAGTAAACAGAGGCAGGAAGAGATAACCATGCTAGATCACTAGCTCCTCGAAATTACAATTATCTTCTACAAAAGATTGCCCATACACCTTGCCAACCTATGCCCACCTACCATATCCTTTTTACAGGCATGGACCTCGTTGGGGTTAGAATTTGGCAGTTTCTAGCCTGTAACCTAAGGGGTGTTCACTCTTTACACTTTCACGTCAGGAAATTTATGCCACAATAAATCTGTTAAGTCCTCAACATGCCACAAGGCTTTTGGCTACCCCCTTCTTCTTCTTCTTTTTTAATGCAACAGACCAACCTAGCTAACCCCTCTGATAGAAACTGCATTTGATTCAGACAATGTTCCTGCAGCTCACATACCCAATGGAAGGAAGGATCCGTCTACAATGTGATCCCTCTGGGTTGCAGCGTCAAGCCTGCAAGTGCTTGTCGGCACCATTTTCTGGATGTTGCTGCGGGAGTATTTCAAGCATGGATGTCCTTGTGGCCATGGCAAATCAGCTTATCCCGCCACCACCATTTTTTAAACTCTTGCCCTTCTACTAAATGGCTCTGTTCCCCGTCCCATTTTACCTACATTACCCTCACCCGACATGTTGCTCTAACATTACATTAGCCTCATAACTCAAGAGTGTGACTTGCTCCACATCACACAAATAAGTTTGTCACTGAGCTTGAACCCAAGCCTCATCAGTCCAGATCCAATACACTATCAACTATACCATTCGGATCTAAGCAATGCCCTAGTTTTATGCCCACAATCTTATCGTATACAACTCTTAACCCAACAGCAAACAAAGGAAGTGGCAACTGGCTGTGTGGAGGTTTTGCACAACCATCCTTGGGTTGTATGGAAAAAAGCTGTGCGAATCACATCTCGGTAGACTCCATTACTGATCTCTTTCTCTCATGCTGGAACAATCTTGAAAACGATTCCCTTTTGGATGTTTTGAGTTTCCCTTCCAGTAAAAACCTTGATATAGCTTTTAAATATAAAAGGAGACGGTTCATTATGGGGATTCCTTCACTTCCCAGATATCCAGCTTGCTTTGCAGTGGTGAAATTCATTATTGTTTCTCTCCAGCTGCCATATCTCCTCTTGGACAGAACTCCCATTCCTTGAGTGCTCCGATGCACAGCATAGCACAGTGATATTAGAAGCTGGGCTTGCCAAACTTTCCCTTAGTAAGCAGCTATTTAAAAGATAGGAATCTGATACCGGACAGAATTTGGCTGTCTTTTAACTCTCCCCCCCCCACCTCCCTGCTTTTAATCTGACTTCTACCAATTCCTGTTCTACACCTAGGGCAGGGGTAGGCAACCTAAGGCCCGTTGGCTGGATGCGGCCCAATCCAGCCTACAGACGGTCCGGGAATCAGCATGTTTTTACATGAGTAGAATGTGTGCTTTTATTTAAAATGCATCTCTGGGTTATTTGTGGGGCATAGGAATTCGTTCAATTTTTTCCCCAAAATATAGTCCGGCCTCCCCACAAGGTCTGAGGGACAGTGGGCCGGCCCATGGTTGAAAAAGGTTGCTGATCCCTAACCTAGGGCATTATTCAACACAAGTCTTAAGCAAACTTCATTGATTTCAGTTGACTTAGGTTGCAGTCCTATAACACATTTATTAGGCAATAAGTCCCATTAAGTAAACGGTGGGCCTTATTGACTAACACAACTAACAACTCGGCCTTAGGCATTCCTATTCAGAAGAAAGCCCTACTGGGCACAAAGGGAATTCCTCCTATGCAAATGTATCTAGGGTTACCATATAAGAAGGTACTGAGGAGAGGGGCATTTTGGGGGGGACTGCCCTGCCACTTTCACTCCCCCTCCCCCCAACCCCCCCCCCCACAAAATGTCCCTTAAACCAAGTTCCCCAAACGTCAACTTCAATCCTGCTCTTACAAGCTAATTTCCTGGAACTTGCTTTAGGGTATTTTTTAATGTGGCAGTACCTTATAAGGGCTGGCTTGTAAGAGATGTGCTTAGCTTCCATTGTTTATTATGAAGCAGCAAATAGCTCCTATTAAATCCACTGATTTCAGTGGGTCTGCTTTGAGTATGACAAAATTTGAAAGCAGCCCTGTGGTCCTAAAGTTGGCGGGTTTCACTTCACACCCATTACCAAAGCAGCTGTTATTTACGGCATTTTAATGAGACCGTAGAGAGAGTCGCACGTTTCCATTTCCTTTGTCAGGTCTAGTTTGACCCAGAGGTGGCCTGCTTGTTGATGTAAAATGTCAGACATAGTAATGCAGTCGTAGGTGTTTGCTTGTGAGTCAGGATCGTCACTGAGGGATGAGCAATACATTATCACTCAGAGGATAATGTGCTGTTAGTAACAGACTGACAAAAAGAAGTAGTTTTTAAACAGCACACATCTTTTGAAACTGGCAAACATCTGTGTATAATACATAAACTTGTCTGTCTTCCTGTATGACTTGATATTCTAAATTTTGAAAGGAGGCTGGACTTTGGGGGATAATATTGTTTATAGAACGTTCCTCTTCAACCAGGCCTTTTGACTGGTTAATATTCTACAACCTTTTAAATGTCTTTGAGGTGGTGGTGCATTTATTGTTTTGTTGTTTTTGTTTTAAGTTTTTAGTTGTGTTTTTACCTTGTATTTTATCACATAAACTGCCCTGAGAAACATCACTGTTATAAAAATGTTGTATATAACGACAAGGCATTTACTTTAAAAAGCAATAGTATGTTTTTACTTACACTGATCATCAGCTCTATAAAGGATTTTATTAGAACGACTTTTTATCTCTCTAATGATCAGCCTATCACTAAATTTGATCAAGACTGCTGACTATGTTTTACCACAGCAGGTTTAAACATCCTGTTCTAACTAATATAAACAAAGTTAGGTTTTCAGCTGGTAATTTTAGACAGAGATGTGAGTATCAGGAAGGGACCCTGAATCTCTGAATACCAATGCATGCACCGACAAACTATGGTTGGTTGGAAATGGAAATGAAGGCTTCTGATTGCCTTCTCCTAGTGATGCTGGAGGAGGAGTATACAAGCCAGAGACTCACATGATGCTAACATTGGGCTCTCAAATTTCAGCAGCACCCTGTGCAACACTAAAATCCTCCCCCCATTGCTGCCTCTTGCACTCTGTTCTAGAGCATTATTTTGGTGCCCCCTGCAAAACTATGCCCAGTGCAGCCATACCAGTTGTGCTACCCTCAAACTACCTCTGCATTTAACCATAAAAAGGTAAAGGTAAAGGGACCCCTGACCATTAGGTCCAGTTGTGGCCGACTCTGGGGTTGCGGCACTCATCTTGCTTTATTGGCCGAGGGAGCCGGCGTACAGCTTCTGAGTCATGTGGCCAGCGTGACTAAGCTGCTTCTGGCGAGCCAGAGCAGCACACGGAAACGCCGTTTACCTTCCCACTGGAGCGGTACCTATTTATCTACTTGCACTTTGACGTGCTTTTGAACTGCTAGGTTGGCAGGAGCAGGGACCAAGCAACGGGAGCTCACTCCATCGCGGGGATTCGAACCGCCAACCTTCTGATCGGCAAGTCCTAGGCTCTGTGGTTTAACCCACAGTGCCACCCGCGTCCCTTCTGCATTTAACCATACTTAGCATTATATCTGAACCAGCAGGGTAGGGTTGCCATGTTTCAAACAGTGAAAATCCGGACAGCTTTTTCGGTGGGGGGGGGGGTGATTTCTGCCTGGACACTGCTGCCAAATGTAGTGTTCAGGATATGTCCAAGAAATTCCGGATATATGGCAACCCTACACCAGGGTCTTGGCTTAGAAAAAGCTATATAAGGATTGCTCAGGTTACTTTGTTCGGCCCTAACAGAACACCATGTTACTATCATTTTTACAGATAGGGGCGTCTAAGCAATGTGATGCTACTAGGGCTAGAAATGCTGTTAAACAAATCCATGAATAAGTGACATTTATTAAAACCTGAACAGTATTCAGTGGCCAGATGTAATGCCTGAAGCTAGATAACTCTTGGAGCAGTGTTTTTTCTTCTTCTTCTTCTTTTCTGTATTGAAAGATTAATCTTTCAGAGGTAAAATGATTCCTCAGTGCATTTCTTTGCTAGCGAGGAGCCTATAAAACAAGCAGTGCATTGTCAAGGTCTAAACTCTCTAGCAAGCCGTTTTGGAATTCCCTCACCCTTCCTTATCTGTCTAGCTTGCATCCTTTTGGGATATGCAGAAATGGTGCTTGAAAATGTACCTGCAGTTTTGGACGAGAGTTTAGGGACCAGGCCAGTGTCGTTCACCGGACTGTTTCCAAATGACCAGGTATTTTTAAATAACCGAGAAGATGCATGGAAATTAAGCCCTGTACAGACATATGGCAAGTCACATCATGAAGTTGGATGACTACAGCTGCCAATTAATTGGATAGCTCCCGTTCTGCCCTTGTGCCTGGTACTGCAGCCAGTGCTTCCTGATGTTCAGTTAGAAACTTTGTGGTCTAATCACAGCTCATGTGAAGGGGTTTGTGTGTGCAGACAAAATGGTTGTGAATACCTTGAAGTCATAAGCCAAGATATAATCATACGAATGCAGCCTCTCTTGGGCAAGAAGAAACCAAAAAAGACCTTTTGAAAGTTTTACTGAGGGTTGGAAAGGAAGTTTTCCTTTTGGATCATGCAGACAAGTTCTTACAACGTATAAATTAAGGAGAAGTTCGCTACATATTTATCATTCTTTTTTAAAAAACAAACCCCACAACATTTGTTTGGAAGGTTTGATTTAAATCGCCACACAAAGGGGGTCATTTGAGCAATTTCTTTAAATCAAGTTTCCAACTTTGAACCTGCAGCAGGACATCATTTGAATGCTAAGTATTATTGTAATGTGACGCTTCTAGGGGACTTTTTTATGCCTCTGGATTCATTGTTGTTCTTTTTTAAAAAATGCTGTGAAGTGCAACTGTTGCTTCTTTATCTTCCAGGTTATCCCAGGAGTTGAGCGCAAGTACTCCCTGAAGTTTGCTACAAAAGATGCTAAGTCTGGGGTAAGTTTGCACAATAAAATGGAACTTTGTATCACATGTGGTACTTCCCAGACATGTTTTTGCTGAGTCTTCCTTTGATTAATCACTGGCTCCTGCCCAAGTCACTTCTCTTATCCACAGCGAAAGCAACAAACCTGCCTCGGCTTCTTGGTGCTTGACCTATTTGCAAGCAAAGGTCTGCGCAACCCTTGGCTATAATGGATTCCCTTTTCCCTTCTCGACACCTGCTGAAAATTGTTCTGTATAAGCAGGCCTATCTAGACATATGACTTGGTTGCAGCTGTTTTTAAATATGTTTAACACGTTTCATTGAGTTTATTTGTTGTTTGGATGTTTTTAATTTAATTTTGGTTGTATTTCTATCGCAGAGGTTTGTTTTTGGGGAAGGACAGGATATAAATGTTAATTCAGATGCAGGAACCCACCCACCCCCACATCCCCTCTGCCCTGCTTCATGCAGGTGTATGCCATAGCTGTCAACGTTTCCCTTTTTTTAAGGGAAATTCCCTTATTCCAAATAGGATTCCTCGCAAGAAAAGGGAAAAGTTGACAGCTATGGTGTATGCTGTTCTTAAGCTAAGGGAACCCATTGTCTATCACTATTGTTTTTGTCATGGTGCTGGCATTGAAAGTCCAAACATTTTTTATATTGTTTGGTGCATTTTATGTTTTTTACCTTTATTGTATATTACTTTTGCATTGATATGTATTAAGTTCACCACGGGGGGGGTGGGGGGGCTTAAAACATGGCATATAAATAAATCAGGCCAACACTGGTGCTTGTTCTAGAAGAATTCGTTTGCTGCCCTGTGGTGCTGGAGGATATGTGTAGGTCTTCCAACTAGTCATAGCTCAACACCACCTTCCTAGTAGTACATAGCACACACTCCCTGGGTGGTTCAACTGATTCCTCCCCACCCCCCACCCCAATACTTCTACCCAAGCACAGACTGCCTGGTGCTTCTTCACAACACCACACCTCCTGCATCTTCCTCCCACATTCTGCAAAGAGGCAAGACTCCATCTCTTGTCCCAGATTTGGGGGGGGGGGTGTCACGTGCCTGCAATTCAGCAAGTGCAACTTCTCTGGTCATGTCTGGATTTAAGAAAGGCAGCACCCCAGATTTGTGATGTCCTTAAAAGTGCACATGGCAGAAAGTGAGAAGGAATTAAAGAAGCTTTTAATGAGGGTGAAAGAGGAGAGTGCAAAATATGGTCTGAAGCTCAACATCAAAAAACCTAAGATCATGGCCACTGGGCCCATCACCTCCTGGCAATAGAAGGGGAAGAAATGGAGGCATTGAGAGATTTTACTTTCTTGGGCTCCATGATCACTGCAGATGGTGACAGCAGTCACGAAATTAAAAGACGCCTGCTTCTTGGGAGAAAAGCAATGACAAACCTAGACAGCATCTTAAAAAGCAGAGACATCACCTTGCCGACAAAGGTCCGTATAGTTAAAGCTATGGTTTTCCCAGTAGTGATGTATGGAAGTGAGAGCTGGACCATAAAGAAGGCTGATTGCCGAAGAATTGATGCTTTTGAATTATGGTGCTGGAGGAGACTCTTGAGAGTCTCATGGACTGCAAGAAGATCAAACCTACCCATTCTGAAGGAAATCAGCCCTGAGTGCTCACCGGAAGGACAGATCCTGAAGCTGAGGCGCCAATACTTTGGCCACCTCATGAGAAGAGAAGACTCCCTGGAAAAGACCCTGATGCTGGGAAAGATGGAGGGCACAAGGAGAAGGGGACGACAGAGGACGAGATGGTTGGACAGTGTTCTCGAAGCTACCAGCATGAGTTTGACCAAACTGCGGGAGGCAGTGGAAGACAGGAGTGCCTGGCGTGCTCTGATTCATGGGGTCACGAAGAGTCGGACATGAATAAACAACTAAACAACAAATAAAAGCACACATGAAGCTGCCCAATACCATTGGTTCATCTAACTTAACATTGTCTACAATCCTTTCACTCCAAGGGCCCACCCTTAGTCTACACATGCAGTTTGGGATAAAATTGTAAGGTTGGAGGGGACCTCAAGGGTCATATCTAGTGCCGTGCAGGAATCACAGATGGCCAGCCAACCGCTGCTTAAAAACCTCCAAGGAAGGAGAGTCCAGAACCTCCCAAGGGGGTCTTTCCACTGTCAAACAGCTCTTACCACCAGGAAGGTCTTCCTAATTAGTCGGGATCTCCTTTCTTGTAATTTGAATCCATTGGTTCAGGTCTGGAGCAGCAGAAAACAAGCTTGCTTTATCATCCATGTAATAGATAGTTGAAGGTTGCTCTCGGTCTTCTCTTTGCCAGGCTAAACACACCCAATTCCCTCAACTGTTCCTCATAAGACTTGGTCCTCCTCCTCTGAACATGTTCCAGCTTAACAATATCCTTCTTAATACACTTCTCTTTTTAACCATATACAGTGGTACCTCGGGTTACAGACGCTTCAGGTTACATACGCTTCAGGTTACAGACTCCACTAACCCAGATATATTACCTGAGGTTAAGAACTTTGCTTCAGCATGAGAACAGAAATCATGCTCTGGCAGCACAGTGGCAGGAGGCCCCATTAGCTAAAGTGGTGCTTGAGGTTAAAAACAGTTTCAGGTTAAGAACGGACCTCCGGAACGAATTAAGTACTTAACCCGAGGTACCACTGTATTTGTATGGTAGGTGTGCTGCTGTTGTGACCCATTTGAAGATCAGTAGTCCACACTGACTGGTCATGGTTCTCTAGGATTGCAAGCTTAAATTAAATAAAGTGATTGTTTCACATGTGCTTTTGAGGGAGAGAAGCCCTTAGACTAGGGGTCCCGATTGACATTCTGGCATGTGGAAGATGGGTTAATATGTCCCCCCGCTTACTGTTTTCTGACCCAGCACACACACCCAGCCTACTTTTTGCCTCCAGAAATTATTTGCTTGCGCAGCACTTATTCTCAGAATGTGCTTCTTGGACTCACTAGTGGGTTCTCTGGACCGGGCATGTGGTAATGTAAAAGCCTTTCAATTGGAAGTAAATAGCATAATTTTGTCTTTTGGTTTTTTCCCCTCAGCAAAATCTAGGCTCATGCCTTGCAACTGTTCGGTACCAGAGAGAAATGCCTAAACCGAAGGTTGATATTGTGTGCCCACACAGCAAAGACCCAGAGGGCCTAGGCCATGTTCCGCAGAATATGCTACAGGACGTCGCCTTGTTCCACAGCATCAGAGGTATATCTCTTGCAAATGATCTCTCTGGTGTCTCTCATTCCAGTTAGCAAAATTAATCAATGTTGCATGAACCTGGACTGATAAGAGATGCCAGGAAAACTAGTGGTGAATGCCGTGATCTTGCACTGGTTACAGCTGCCTGTGGTTTGCAAGTCCAGTAACACGAAGGTTTTCTTCTTTAGTAATCAGTAGCTATTTCCCCTTTCTTTTCCTGACTGTGGGAGAAGGCAGAAGGGTAGCCAAGTTGCTGAGGCTTAATCCTTTTGAGTTCCCAATGAATAAGGAACTCGGTTCCTCTATGTGATTTGCACACAAAGACGAACCATTTCCTTCCTTTCAGCCCAGCGCAGTGCTTGGCCAAAGCGTCTTTGTGGGCGGAAAAGCAGGATGTTAAGAGCAGTCGCAGCAGGTCCTTCACCTCTGGCATTCCCTCAGGTTCACAGCTTGCATGACAGACAAGCATATTGGCAAGATGATTATGAGTCCGTGAAGCAGTCTGTCTCTTTCTTTCCTTTCTAAGTAGCACATATATGTTCATTTGTATAAAAGTTCATCCTTCGCCTCTCCCACACTCAAAGCGTTTTTAAAGGGGGGGGGACTGTTGCAAATCAGCTCCTGACATTTGGGAAAAGGCATGGTGGGGGATAAATGTTTTAGCAGAATTCAAGAACTCTGGAAGTCGCCACATAACACTGGTCTTGAAAGACCTACATTGGCTCCCAGTACGTTTCTGAGCACAATTCAAAGTGTTGGTGTTGACCTTTAAAGCCCTAAACGGCCTCGGTCCAGTATACCTGAAGGAGCGTCTCCACCCCCATCACTCAGCCCGGACACTGAGGTCCAGCGCCAAGGGCCTTCTGGTGGTTCCCTCGCTGCAAGAAACCAAGTTACAGGAACCAGGCAGAGGGCCTTCTCGGTAGTGGCACCCGCCCTGTGGAACGCCCTTCCATCAGATGTCAAAGAGATAAACAACTACCTAACATTTAGAAGACATCTGAAGGCAGCCCTGTTTAGGGAAATTTTTAATGTTTAATAGACTATTGTATTTTAATATTTTGTTGGAAGCCGCCCAGAGTGGCTGGGGAAACCCAGCCAGATGGGTGGGGTACAAATAAAATTATTATTATTATTATTATTATTATTATTATTATTATTATTTAGAGGTCCAGCTAGCTCAGCATTGTCTATATTGGCTAGCAGCCGCTTCCCAGGATTTTCAGACAAGGATGTATCCCATCCTGGATATGCCAGGAATTGAAACGGGTATCTTCTCAATGCAAAGACGATGCTCTGCCACTGAGCGATAGTGGTCAAATTGGTGCTTTCTGCAGTCAGCTTCCCCCCACTGAAGCCAAAGTGAGGCAAAAACTCGCATAATCTGTTTTTCCAAAGTTCACCCGAGATAAATGGATTTTTGTTTTCCAAGAAATGGAAGCACAATCAGGCCAGCTCTGCCATTCTTAACATTGGCAACTATTCTCACCCTAGTTCTTAAAAGTCCCATGGGGGGGAGGGGAGCTTGCAACATATGCAACTAGGCCTTGAGCATCCAGGAAAGCCTCAGTCTGCTTGTCATGAAAGAATCTCATTATCCTGTTTCCTTAAAACACACACACAAACCCCCCACTACTTTTCTGTCTGCAGATGGCAAAAAGCCCTCTCAGGATCTTCTGCAGAATTTGGCCACCATTGGAAACAGTTACATCTCATGGGAGAAATCATCTGAACGCAGAAGTTACACCGTGACACAAGTGACGAATTTGAAGCCGTGGGTAGGTGAAATTCTACGCCTGCACAAGGGGAAAACGGGCCTTGTGCAGCAGATTTTGCAGGCCTCAGCAGCAGTGGGGGCAAAGCTCATTCTGCCCTCAGACAACCTTCCATCTGTCTGCCTCCTTAGTTACAGCCAGTCTAAGGGGTGCGGCACCTGTCAGCTTCCTTAGTCTTGGTGTTACCTTTGTATGGAGGAGGGTGTGTGTGTGTGTGTGTGTGTGTGTGTGTGTGTGTGTGATGGACTGGTTGGACGCAGTTGAGTGGTGCTTACTCCCTGGTAAGTATGTTTTAAGCTTCAAATCAGTAGGGCTTTTCTTTTTTAAAAAAAAGTGTGATTCACTTTTCTTTGCCATCAAATGCAAACAACACAAATGCGATGCTATCAAGAACCGTATTTTTCGCTCTATAAGACGCACCAGACCATAAGACGCACCAAGCTTTTGGAGGAGGAAAACAAGAAAAAAAATATTCTGAATCCCAGAAGCCAGAACAGCAAGAGGGATCTGACTTCTGGGATAGCCTCTTGCTGTTCTGGCTTATGGGATAGCCGCACGCAGCCTCTCCCGGGCAGCGGGAGGAAGGCTCCCCCAAGAAGGGCAGCCCTTCTCCCTCCTCGGGGAAAAGCCCCCAAGAGCCGCACACACGCTCCCCGCGGCTCTTTAAAGGGAGCGCTGAGCAGAGCCTCCCACCTGCATTCGCTCCATAAGACGCACACACATTTCCCCTTACTTTTTAGGAGGGGAAAAGTGCACCTTATAGAGCGAAAAATACGGTAAGTTCCAAGATCGGGCACAGCCTTAGTGCAATAAGCAATGATAAACAACAGTAGCTTCAAGCTAGTTGCAAAAGCAGTGGAGGGGTGTGTGGATGTCCTAAGGAAGCTTTGTTGTGTATACCAGAAATGCTATGGTACTTCTTGACTGCACTTGGAATAAAAACAGGTAGTTTTTGCTGATGCAACATGAAACACAAAATTGCATAGAGCCACCCCCACCATCCCTGGATCAAATAACAGTTTCTTTCATATTTCACTGAATGCAAATCACTGCATTTTTAAAGTGGAATTTTTGATTGACCATCTTCTTTCTAACTTAGTTTCCTGCCCAGGTAAGAAAGTACATCACTTTCTTTGAAGTTGACTACACCGCTCAGCTGACAAGTGATTCCTCAGAGGTAAGAATACTACAATACATATGCTTGCTTCTCACTCATGTAATAAGTGTGATTGTGCAGCAATAATCTACTTTGAAAACTAGCATAGTAAGTGGCTAAGAAACTGAGCTGAAATTAGGCTGCATCAGCCATGAATTCACTATGTGGCCTGTCAAGTCGTTCTCTCTCTCTCAGGCTCAGTAACCCACCGACTAACAGAATAAAAAGCTTCAGTATCCTATGTGTTTATTCAGCAGTCCCCCTAAATTCAGTAGGGTTTGCTCCCTAGTAAGCGGGCTTATTTATCTACTTGGAAGCAAGTCTTATTTGTGTTCAATGGGACTGTGTCTATGATCATCTTAAGCGGCAACCCTGTACCCTTTCACTTGGGAGTAATCTCCACTAAACTTAACGGGACTTATAAGTGGCAGGCTTGGTGGGGATGTGGGAGAGGGCCTTCTCAGTGGCTGCTCCCAGATTTTGGGACTTCTGCTTAAAAGAAGCTAGTCCTTCCACTGGCAGGTGAAGACTTTTATTGTGCCAACAGGCTTTGAAGAATTGGCTGTTTTATTCAAAGGGTTTGTGCTTTTATTCAAAGGGTTTGTGCTGTGAAATGTTTACGGCCCATTATTTGTATGCTTGAATAGTTAGTTTTAATTCCATTACTATTCAATTGCTTTTTAATTACTGGGGTTTTTTTTTCTATTTTGTCTGTCGGGGGGGGGGGGGAGGTGGGATCTAAGTAAATAAATGAATATAAGACTTCAGAGTATTTAAGTGTAGAATTGGGCATTCAAGCACTCAACAGTGCTACATAAATACTGATTACTTTTGCATGTTTCTCTAGAACTTTTCCTGCCACGTCCGTGTTGCCTGGAGACCTGGCTTGACGGCACGAGTGAAATATGACTGCTCTTCAGAGGACGACTCTTCAGAATCTGCAGATGGTTCTGGGGTGGAAGAGGGATCTGCTAATGGGGTCATACTTAAATATGATGAAAGTAATTTTTAAGTAGGAAGAACGCCTGCATTATAAAGCTGTAAACATTTTTTTGCAAAGGTGTAGATGACCTTCCATTAATATTCCAAAACCACTGTTGTGATTCTTCTATATAAATTGTTACCGCATATTTCAAAGCTTTGCACTAGTCACTTCTGAGCTACCATAAATATCCTCTTTTCTTTGTAATTTCTGAAAAGAAAAAAAATATTTTTGCTAAACTTCTGAAAACTTTTTTTAAAAGAAAAGAATATATGTAAAAACTACTGATTTGTCACCAAGTTTCGGGTAGGAGGTAACTTTGTATGAGACAAATTTAATATATAAACAAATGTCTTTTAAGTTTCTTAAAACTGCCATTTTAAATAAATATTTGATAAAATATTTTAAGTTTTGAAAATAAAACAGTTGATGCTAACTTTTAACATCTCCAATAAAATGAATACCGGTACATTTTGTGTATGCTGTCTTATTGGTCAATTTCAAAATTATTCTGTGTAGCAGGGAGAAGATACTGAATATGCAGGGAAAATGAAAACTGATTAAAATTATGAACTGCTTTTCATGGGACACTTTCTGAGATGCATGATAAAGTTGCTCCTAAAGACTGACCTGCCTCCAGCAATCTTGTAATTATCTACTTCAGTTTTAGCTGGAGATATATATACCTTTCTAAATTCTTTTATCAAGACAAGCGTATTTAAAAAATATCATGTATCTCTGCAACAGGACAGCTGGCATTGTCTATCATGGGGCTCACATGGGAGGATAAATAGAACATGTGCAGTCAATATAATTTTTAAAGTAAAGCTAAAGACATTTTATTAAATTAAGACAGTGACTAATTAATGGAATTTCTATGTGAACATTTCAGCAACAGTCTTTAGTGACTTAATAAAGTCGATGTATCAATCCAGGATGAAGTCTGCTCTGAATATTAAAGAGTCATTAAATCAATAGAGCTTAGCGGCAGTAGATGTTTGGTGGCAGGTCCTCACGATCAGCTCACATGCAGGGAATCAGCTCTTTGCCTTGCCCTTTTTCACAGGAAGTTGCCCTGTTGCTTCTAGGTATCTGTTAACTAATTCTTCCTGGGTACTGGATAAGCAGGGCTGGTATTTGACGTATTCCATTGTGTATTCGCCTTTTCCCTGCAGACAAGAGAACCTCCACATTACGGACAAATTAAAAAAATTCTCAACTCTATACATCACGCAAAACGTGACATCGTTTCCATGTAACACGTGAAACTAAACCCAGTAAATGCAGAAGTGGCACGGCAACCGTCAACTGCCCCTTGAGCAGGCGCCTGAGCTTACAAACCAGTGCTGATCAGGACGTAGTTACTGGCGATAAAAGGCAGCAAGGGCACTGTCAGCTTCAGAGCATCTCAGTTTAAAACCAGGAAGATAAACATGCAGGACAATGTTAACATAAGGTTACCAGGCATCCCCGTTTCCCGGGGACTGTCCCCGGATTTACAAATCAGTCCCCATACAAAATCCATTGAAGTTGAAAAGTGTCCCCGGATTCATTGGAAAAAAATCTGGTAACCTTATGTTAAGAGGGATAAGGATTGAACACATGGGGGGGGGGTTGCTAATTATAATGGATTAAGAAAGCCTCCAGACAGAAAATGTAACATAGGTAGTGGTTGGCTTACTCCTATCATGTGTCACAAACATTGTCATTTTCTTGATATGCAGCTGCAATCTAACATCTGGTGGTTTATTCCAAACCTGCAGCATGAGCACTTCAGACCCCCCTTTCCTCTGTGCTTCTTTCCCATCTGCACCTTTTCTTTCTTCACATTTTCTCCCGCTGCTTCCACCATTTTCCTTCCCCTCTCTTGATTCCGTTGGTCTCTTCCTCTTCTCCTCCTTTCTCAGAATTGCTTTCCCAGACATTCTTTGCCTTCCCCCTTCAGTCTCCTTCCCAGACTTAGTCTACCCCGCATTCTCTAGAGCTGCTTGCCTTGGTGCTCTGTGATGCTAAGAAAACTCAGCCAAACACTGTAGCCCAAGGCTACAGCGCCATCCTCGCAAAGGACCTTTAGCGCGCTGCAGTAGGGATGTGGCTACAACACCAAAAACAGTAAAAGCCAACAATGCTTTCTGCAAGAGAGAGTTTTGTTTTGTTTTGTTTTGTTTTGTTTTGTTTTGTTTGTTCTAAAAAATAAGCTCAGAAATTATATATTCACTTACCTCTGTGCACGACCTCAGTTCGTTAGAATATCCAAACATATTATTCAACGGCACCTGATGGCAAATGGAGAATGCATGTGATACAGATTTTGGTGGGAAGGAGATTATTTCATATTTAAGGAAATCTACATTGCATCCAAGCCACATTCAGAGGTCCCATGAGTGAAACTCTGCTCCCTCTGCTAGTCTGAGCTGCGGGTTGACTGCTGCAAGAACAAGGCGCTAGACTAGGGCTACCTAAACCCAATTTCGATCATCTCTCTCACTCCAAGCACGTTCCTCGGAATTACAAACCCAGAGTTTGGGAAACACAGTAGGCTAAGTGCACACACATATACTTTGCACAGGGCTAGCTCAAACGTAAATGACTCTGCTTAATAAAAGCTGCTTTATTAAAGCTGAGAATGGGCACTGGATCCACAAGTTCTCCGCTAACCTCTCTTCCTGCATGCTGGTTTTAGCACCGATAATAACCCAGCTTGCTTTTAACCACAGTTTTCTGTTACATTTGGAATGGGAAACAGTGATCCTTTATCTTAGCTTACTATGTAGAATATAAAGTCATATCCTGGTTAGTTAAGGGGGGAGGAATTAAGCCACAGGGATTTTTTTGTTTGGAAGTAGTGAGAAACTCATTCAAATACCATTATAAACTGGCTGAAATTAACTAGGACACAAGCACAAAAGGGGTCCAAAAGTAACTATCCATTTAATAAACTGATTTGTGTCTGAACTGGTTAACAACATTTGGATTTTTTCATTTTATTTTACCATAAAGAACCATGACACTGATTATAGCTCACCCAACAGATAAACATTAACTGAGCAGAGAGGAATTCTTAATATATTGTGTTATGGGCTAGCCAGTTGGGTGGAAAGGAGAGTTAGGGAGGAAAGGGGTTTGCCAGCTCCAGGCAGGTTTTTTTCTCCCCATTCCAGGGCTGCATCCAAAGCCTCTCCTTATCTGCCTCTGGTGTGTCCCCAGGATGCTTCTTTTCCTCCTCCTCTGCACCTGGGAGCACTGATGACAGAGGAAAGACAGTTGCAGAGATTTGCAAAGCAGCAACAAAGAGGCCTCTGGGCAAATCCTCCTAGTTCTGAGTCCTAAGCAGTGCTTTCAAAAATATGGTTAGGTTCCCCTGGATTCAGTCGTAAAGCAAGAATAGTTGAGCAAGCTCAACAGAACCTACGTTAGCGTAGAGAGTGAAATAGCCTTCAGCCCCGTCCTGTCCTGTGATGATGCCATGGCGGCGATTGACTCCAGCAATCACTTCTCCTTGGAATTCGTTGGGTGCCACAACTTCCACAGACATAATGGGCTCGAGAATACACATGGTTGCATTTTCCAAAGCTGGATCCAAAAGAAAATATGTTAGAACACTTACCTTCGTATGTCATTTCTTAATTTTTATCTATACATTTCCCCCATTATTTTAAAATGAAAAAGCAACAGATAAATGCACACAGAGACATTAAACATCTGCAAACAGCAGAACTGCTTGGGCATGTCAAAATATATCACCTAACAATATTAGAATGAGTGTTGGTATTGAGTGCAACAAGGATTACTTTTGCAAAGTTTTCGGAGTCACCTAAACAGACCAAAGGAACTGAGTAAATCGATTAAGAAAAAAACTGGTTTAATTAACTGCTTATCAAAATGCATGACTATTAGCCATATTATATACAGAGAACATCCATCTTCAGAGGCAACATAATCCCTGACGAATGCACGATGGGATCAGAACAGGGACAAATTCATCAGTGACAAATCCCTGGGCTATCTCCACTGGTGGATACAGAATGCCAGGTAATTTGTATATGTTCAAGAAAAAATATTGCACACAGATACAAGTTAATATCAGGCCTGCATTTGTTTCTAATACAGTATCTAACAGCCAGGTCTCAATTTTGAACAAAAAGCCGTCTTCCATGTACTCATTCGTAATGAACCGCTCTGTGACTTTTGAATGAAGGGCGGTATACAAATTTAATTAAAAAATAAAATGAACCACTAACGAATGTGTATTTAGTGCTAATAACACAACTAAGTACTGAACAGAACAGAGATGAAATGTGTTTGGTGTTCAGGAGACCTATAGTCTAAGTATAACGCAGAGGAGTAAGCGGAAAGACAGCAACAAGTCTGGTGGCACATTGAAGTCCAATAAACTGATTATTGCAAATGCTTTATTCCATACATATATTATATTGAGTTAGCAGATGCACACACATTATCAAGGGAAAGAGTAGCAGCAGGAAACATTGGCATTAACTATGGCAAGGAAAAGAAGGCGATGCGATGGAGAGACAGTCACGTTTGACCTTAATAGCAGTGAGGCCAAACGGGGAGAAGGAAAAGGTGTTCCCGAAATGAGAAACAACATGGGAGAAAACATGAAATATGCAGGTATGCATATACAGATCAATGAGCTTCCTCAGAAAGAAGAAGAGTTGTAAATTGGGCAGAAGTGGACAGCTTTAAAATGAAAGGAGGAAAATAAGCTTAAAGTTGATGCAGAAAACGCCAGAGCTAGACACAAAAGTGGCGAACTGTATAGCCGCAACTGCACTATTCACAAAACTATTCTGGATAAACTGCAGGGGGGAAATGGAAATAAAGAATAGCTATGTGGTTAAGGTTGGAAGCGCCCCATCTCTGAAGCAGTACCTTGTTTCAAGGCTCCTTCACCAGCTCGGATGAAAGCGATTTCGTTGGAGTCCACCATGTGACTCGCACCGTCCTCTAAGACGAACCGTATCCCGGAAACCTTGTGAGCCATCAAAGGGCCTTTTTCGCACGCCTCAAGGAACCCCTATAAAAGAATAGCCCCAGCGTTAGCGACTTCAGTTCAAACGGTGGCAAGTCCTTTGACATGCAGATGGCTGGAGGAAACGTGTAGACAAATAGGCCTTTGCAGCCAAAATGACCATGCCCGACTTGAAAGGAAAAGGAGCAACAAAACTGGTATGTTAATAGTTCTCCGCAAACAATGGTTTCCAACTCAAGGGACAGCCCGGAAAACACACTCCCTCCCCCTTTTCTCTCTCCTGCGCAGAGCAAACTCGAAACCAAAGTGATTGATGAACTAGCATTACAGGTACACCAACATTTACTATGGTTGATTTCTAATTTGTTATTTCAGTGCTTATATACCACATTCATTAAAAAAAAAAAAGACTGCAAGAGGAACTTAATCGAACTAAAATGCTGCATATAAAAAAGACAAAACATCAAAAACCCATAAAATAAGATTCTACTCACTCATTACCCACAATTCCACATCCACTTTCTCTCCTGCATGCACACTCACCCACAAACAGCCTCTGTACCTACAATGCTAGCTCAAAACCATGGTCTCTTAGCACACCTAGAACCCTGCTCCAAATTTCAGCCTATAGAAGTAGGATATGAAACAGATTTGAAGGGTATCTTACCAGAAAATGAAACAGTAACCTTACCAAAAGGTAGAAGATACAGTCTCTCTTGTTTTCAAAAGAAAGAATCCCTCTCTGCCTCCTTCACCACTTTCACAAGAGCAAGTCAACATGGACGAACTGCAGGCATTTATTATACGGTGATGGCAAAAGCTAAGCAGAATGCAATGGACCAGCCTATTTAGGGAATGCACTTAGGAAAGACAGTCAAAGGGCCCGAGGGCATTTAAAGCATGTTTTCCACAGAGATGCAAGCAGGAGGCAGAACCAAAGGAGCTTGCTGTCTCCTTGAAGGCCCAAGAAAGATATACCAGAAATCCAGTGTCAACCAGACTAGCTTGCAATCACCTATGCATTAAGAATAAGAACGTATCTTTAATGCATAGGAGTGATCTTTCTTCGTTATTACCTAGCAAGATTTTCTGGTGTGTGGATGCCTGTGTGTGTACTTTTGAATTCTTGTTTTCATTCCCTTGTGTCTTGCTTTTACCATTTTCCTGCTTGGATCTCATTTGGCTTCACAGCCAACCTGTTTCTTGAGAAGATGCCCATCGCGCGCTTGGGATCCTGTCAAAACTGCATTGACCGGGGAGGGGGGGTGAGGCAGACCTCACCTTTTCAATGGCTGGCACAAACTGCTTTGGGATATTCGTTCCGACCGTCTTGTCAACGAATTCCACCTTGGTGTAGTCTTCTTCCTCCAGAGGCTCTAAATAGCCTATCACTTTGCCATACTGGCCTGCTCCACCAGACTGCCTTTTATGAGTGAAGTCGAACCTGTGAAAAGACATAAACTCAGCAAAAAGGAAGGAAGGGAAGCAATGCCTATTCATTTTGCTCAGCACACATGCATAGCTCAAATCCTACGTTCTCACCTGGGTGCTGGCTCCCACCTAACAAATAGCCAGAACTTCCCCGTCCCCATATAATCTCTTGTAGAGGACTGTATGGAGGAACCACAACCCAAACAAGCTTCTACAGCAGGGATGAGAAACCCCAGACCTGTCTCTCCTCCGCAACACTCCCCATTGGCCTTGCTTCACGCCTCCCTTGAGCGTTTGTGCCTGGCTGGAATATGTCCTTGAACTCTGGTAATGCTTCTTGCTTGCCTGCCTCAAAGCCGGAAAGATCAGGTCTGCAAGTGTATATCAAAACTAACATACAGTACTATAGCAAAATTCATATTCATTATTTTGCCCGCACTGGCATGTGACCCCCCCTGGAAGGCTGACCCAGAAGGGAGTGTAGACCTTGGGTTGAGAAAGATTCCTCCTCCCTCTACATCCAGACCATTTCCATGGTGGTATTTTTTGGAGCCTCTCCAGTTATGGAAGCAGCAACTGGGAGGCTCCATGTGAGAGTCCTGTTCATACTGACATTTCCCCCGTTCGAAACCTAGCACAAGTTGGAATTGGCATGCAGAATAAGTGGCCAGTCCACTATCTCTGCTCTTCAAAGCAAAGGGCCTTACGCTGCCATGGTGACTCAGCCTGTCTAAAATCAGTCCCTCTGCACTCTGATTTGGCACAGGAACATGCATCTTATTGGGACAGGATGGTAAATTACTCTCTGGCCCAGTTGAATGCTCAGTCTCCAAGTTCTGCTGCATTTTAGAAAAGAGTCTTGAGAGGAAGGCCAGCCCAGAACACTTTGCTGCTGCAGGTGACAGCCAAAGATATGAAAGGAAGAAGAAGAAGAAGAAGAAGAAGAAGAAGAGGAGGAGGAAGGTGGTGGTGGTTTAGATTTGCTATCCCACTTTTATCACTGCCCTAAGGAGTCTCAAAGTGGCTAACAATCTCCTTTCCCTTCCTCCCCCACAACAAACACTCTGTGAGGTGAGTGGGGCTGAAAGACTTCAGAGAAGTGTGAGTAGCCCAAGGTCACCCAGCAGCTGCATGTGGAGGAGCGGAGACGCGAACCCGGTTCACCAGATTACGAGTCCACCGCTCTTAACCACTACACCACACTGGTACCCCTTTCTTGGCATCGAGTGAAGGGGACACAAGCAATTTTCCAGCTGATATGATTGGCGCTTCTTTTGAAGCCCTGGCTGACCTCTAGAACATCCAAACAGCTGGGACTGAGCGCCCTCTCCCACTTTGCTGTCACTGCAAATGAGGTGTTTTGGCTGAAGTGTGTTTTTGTACCTTACTTAGTCAAATGAGTATTAATTTATGCTAATTTATGCAGACTTCATCCTGAAATAAAGAATAGTTGTGGGAAGAAAACCTTATTTGTGGTTGTATCCGATGAGGCATGCACATATTTTAGCAGGCACCCTCTTGCTATCAGCATCGCTCCCTCCTGTGTGAGAGAAAAAGAGGAGTGCATTTTCTATGGGTCCTGAGTGGTGCTGCCAGACCATCTCCATTATGTCCTAGTAAAGCTGCAATCCTAACCCCATTTATCTGGGAATAAGCCCTGTTGAAGTAAATGGGATTTATTTCTGAATAGACATGGTTAAGATTGCACTGCAAAGATGTCCTATTGGCTAGGGCCAGCAGCTAAAACAAAAATGATTGCTAATCAGGATCAGCATCTGTTCACTGTTGAAAATGAGATGATAATGCTGCATTTAACTTTCCAGAATTTTTTATTGTATTGTTGCATATTTGTATGATTTTCTGAGCTGCTCAAAGAACTCTATGGGGTGGGGTGGCCTGACCTATATACAGTGGTCCCTCAGGCTACAAACTCAACTTGTTCCAGAGGTCTGTTCTTAACCCAAAACCGTTCTTAACCTGAGGTGCGCTTTCGCTAATGGGGCCTTCCGCTGCTGCCATGCCGCCAGCGCACGATTTCTGTTCCCATCCTGGGGCAAAGTTCGCAACTCAGAGAAACTACTTCCGGGTTAGCGGAGTTTGTAACCCGAAGCATTTGCAACCCAAGGTACCATTGTATATAAAAAACAAATAGAGAAAGTACTAGACTAGTTCCTTTGTGTGCAGACTGCATTTGCTGGTTATTTTTGACAGCACAACCTTTTCTACTTCCAGTGGTAACAACAACAGCCCTTTATAGGAAACACAGCAGAAGTTCAGGACTTTATCACTGTAGCAATTTGGCAGCAATGTCCTCTTCCGCCCCCAAAAAAGGGAAAAAACAAAGCCCAAAGTTCATGCTCTTTCAAACTACAGTGGTGTGTGATGTATTTATTTAGTTTTGTAAAGCCTTCCATGGTAAGGTAAAGATAAAGGGACCCCGACCATTAGGTCCAGTCGTGGCCTCTGGGGTTGCGGCGCTCATCTCGCTTTACTGGCCGAGGGAGCCAGCATACAGCTTCCGGGTCACGTGGCTGGCATGACTAAGCCGCTTCTGACGAACCAGAGCAGTGCACGGAAACGCTGTTTGCCTTCCCGCCAGAGTGGTACCTATTTATCTACTTGCACTTTGATGTGCTTTCGAACTGCTAGGTGCTTACGAACTGCTAGGGACCGAGCAACGGGAGCTCACCCCGTTGCGGGGATTCGAACCGCCGACCTTCTGATCGGCAAGTCCTAGGCTCTGTGGTTTAACCCACAGCACCACCCGCATCCCCACCTTCCATGGTAGGAATAGAGAAATAAACTGTCCAGTACAGTGGTACCTCAGGTTAAGTACTTAATTCGTTCTGGAGGTCTGTTCTTAACCTGAAACTGTTCTTAACCTGAAGCACCACTTTAGCTAATGGGGCCTCCTGCTGCTGCTGCGCCGCCGGAGCACGATTTCTGTTCTCATCCTGAAGCAAAGTTCTTAACCTGAGGTACTATTTCTGGGTTAGAAGAGTCTGTAACCTGAAGCGTATATAACCCGAGGTACTACTGTATTACAGTCTGTTACTTAATATCATTATTTTACTTATATTGGTTCTCCAGCTTCCTTTGTAATTAACTCTTTACAGGGCTGAAGCAGTGTGTTCCTTTTGTATTCTTACAAAGATTAATAAACCTAGTTTGTTTGCTTTTTAAGCCTGTCACCCCACAGCTGCCCCAAACTCTATGGATATTTCTCATTTCAGAACACTTCGGCTGCCGAGTTCATATTCCAGATGGGAAGCCATCTAGAGGCACAAAAGGGGATGGTGATGCTCCATACGGCATCGGAAGAAGCAGGTTGCAAGCTTTTGCCGAAGTAAATCACCTTCATCCCAGTCCTAAACACACGTACTTGCTCCCTGGGAAGCATCGTGTTTTTGAAGCTGCGCAATTACGAAGGATTCCTCTTGATTTCAGCGGGGTTTTATTCGGACGTCATTCTCGACCTCTGCCAAAATCCTTGGCTGCGGTCCCGGGAATCCCATGAACTCCCAAGTAAACATGCACGGGTCGTCCTGTTTGTCCTGAGCAGCCCAATATATACACGGATCTTTGGAATTTTGACCTAATGGTTCATTTCCAAGCGCCCCCATCTCGACTCTCTTCCTTCTAGCTTCGCCGCGCAAGATCCACCCCCGGCCCAGATGGGGAGCCCGGGCGGGCAGATGTTGCGCCTCTGCGCCCCAGCAGCCCCCGCTCGGCTCGCCCTCTTCCTCCTCCTCCTCCTCCTGCTGCCGCCGCCGCCGCTTCCTGGTTCTCTCCCGCCGGCGGCGCAAGAAACCCCATTGTGCGCGGCGGCGGCGGCTGCAGCCACCGCCCAGGCCGAGGCCCAGCCCCACCGCCGGGCCCCCCTTCCCGCTCCACCAGGGAAGAGCGAGCGTCGCCGAGGCCTCTCCGAGCGAGCCTCCGCGCGCCCCGGAGCCGGCCCCATGGAGATCCCCCCGTCGCACTACCCGGCCAAGCGAGCCGCCGGCGTGGTCGAGAACTACATCAACTACCAGCACGGCAGCCCCAGCAAGATCTTCGGCGTGCGGGAAGTGCGCCAAGCCAGCCGAGAGGTAAGCGGGGCCGGGGATGGGAAGGCGCGGGCGCGGAGGCGCTGCTTTCCGGCGCGCACGCTTCCCTGGGAAACCAAAAACCCAAAACACACCCAGCAAGCCTTATGGCACCCTAAATGCTACCGCAGCGCTCTTCCTTGGTTTCGCTGCTGCAAAAGGCTGCAGCAAAAGTCGCGCTCCCCAGATTTAATTTGGAAGAAAGGCCCGTTTAACGTGGCGGGACCTGCTTGCAAGTCCATCTGCAAAGCATCGGGGCTCCTAAATAAAAAGGCGCTTGCAGAGTCTCCGCTGCTTTCTCCTCCTCTGAACAACTTCTCTGCACAGCTTGATTCCTAAAAGGGTTCGAGGCTGAAGACGCCAATCACTGCAGAGGTAGCAAGCGCGCGCACAACACCCTCTTCCCCATCTCTGCTACTTTTTAATCCAGGCGAGCGGGGCTCATCCAGGCCCGCGAGAAGCGACACTTTCTTTTCCACAAGGCGCACAAAGCGATCGCCATGATCGGCAACGACAACAGCTGTTGCTATAGCTTTCTCCTCCCTTTGTGCGCCACGTGGTCCAGCAGCGGCAAACCACCTGCCCCATCGATCGGTAAAAAACGAAGTCCACAGAGTTATCTCGCCTATTCAAGGCGGAGTAAACTGGTTGCCTTAACCCTTCTTGTTTCAAGCTTCACTCTAATGCCAGTCTCTCCCATGGGCGGAGGGGGAAAGGGAGGGAGAATCTATCACTGCTGCATTATAAAGCTGCAGAACCAGTTGCACTAAAAACAAATAGAAAGCCTGGTTGATCCTGGCAACTGTTTGCTGTCCACAAATAAGAGTGCTAACCTTTCCGAAACAGGCACACACCTGCAGAACCCCACCCCCAATCGTATCTGGTAGAAAATGCCCCAGAAGTGTCTTTAGGACGCTTAACTGCAATACAAGAATTCTCAACACGTCCTAAGCATGTTACATCGGTTCCAAAGTATAATGATGCTTTTTATCCACCTTTCATCTCAGCAAATGTTCTAAATAATGGGGTACTTCGAGGCAGCTGGACACTGCTTTTAAACACTGGGCACTAGCTAAAGTTAAGCATTTTTTTACACCTTGCTGATTTCAACAAGGGAGTGTTAAGCTTACCTACTGAGATCAATGGGATTTAAACATGCTTGGCCTTTAAAAAACATAGCTTCCACAACAAGTTAACTGTTTGTTTTTGATACGGATACTGAATACATAAAGAATACCCTCATATTGTTAGGGTCCCTGGCAAGTCCTCAGAAGTCGAAGTAAGATAAACAACATGTACTCTCTTTGTACCTCAGGAAATTCCAGGTGTTGGGCACAAATATCGCCTGAAGTTTGCAATGGAAGAAGAACTTCAGAAAGTAAGTCCTGCTCCTTTGTTTGTTGTTAGTTGGGATTCATTTATGGCAAACCTCAAGAGGGTACAGAGTAGACTGTATCACAGCCTGTATGGTTCCTGAATGAGATTTCTCCTGCCATAAACCACCTGGAAACCACTTCAAAAAGCAGAGGGCTGGTTCTAGGACAAGTCGACAACACCACATTCTTAGGCTGGTTTCAATAGCCCCCTGGGCACCCTGATCCTAAATTCATTTATCAAGATGCTGCCAGGAGTCTAAAACTTTCATGCAACACGCAAGAAAAAGCGGGACAGGTTCCTGGCAGAACTTTGGGTTATCACCTCAAAATGAAAATCTGAGACTATTGCTGGTTTAGAGATTCATATTCATCACTCTGCATGTATGAATCAGCCATTACAAACAGAACCTCATTTGTCACATCAGTCTTCAAAGGGGTAAGAAATCAAGTGATGTACAGACTTGGAAGGGACCTTAAAGACCACCCTGCCAACATGGGAGCCCCACGACCACATTACAATAAGGAACTGCATGCAAGCCACTTATTTGTAGCAAAAGCATTTGTTGCTTCTAGAATGTAAAATTTCAAACAGAGTTTATTTTAACCCTTAAAAAAATTGGTACCTGACCTTGGACACCCCACCCACCATTTTCATATATGCCCCTTGAAGTAATGGGGTTGCATTGACACAAAAGCACATCTTGCTAATGGATCTGTTACCCTCTGATGGAATATCTAAACAAATGCTCCTGCTGTTTTCGCATAACAGTTCACATCACCAAGGAGCAGACAGCACACTGCAGCTCAAATCACCCATCACAGCGGGAGTGGGGAACCTTTTTTGCCCCAAGGGCCGCAATCCCTCCTGGGCAACCTTCTGAGGGCCACATGCAAAAGTGGGTGGAGCAATGAATGCAAATTTTACCCCTGTACATTAGGAAAGTTCCAACACAAACTCACATACACCCCTCTCTGTTCAGACAATCAAGAGGCATTATCAGAGTTCAAAGACACATTTGAGCCAGGCAAAAACACATTTTTTGGGGGGGGGGGTTAAGCAAGATGAGAAGTGTTGCCCGAGGAGAGTTCTGATGGCAAAACAGAAAGATCTAGGCCTGAAGTTCCCTACCCCTGCATTATAGGATGATTCCACAACAGGGGGAGATGCAATGTTCAATACCAGAGCAACTGAAGAAAAGGGGAAGAGAGATAATACACATAACACTTCTCTTGAATAGAGAGCAATATAGAATTATTCTGAGCAAGGATTTAGGTAAGAGAAGGATATGGATATTCTAATAGTCATGATGGCTATTTTGGTTAGGTGATATTGGTAAACAAGGGTGAAGCAAAATGTGTTTATCATTAGAATAGCAAGCTCCTTCCAATGAAGTTTTTTAACTTGTCCGATTATTTCTCCAACAGGGCAGTCCTGTGAACTGCACCGCTGAAATCCTGTATCATCACGGCGACCCACATGTTGCTCCCGAAGTGCATTATACAGTGGAAGGGGAGTTCGGGACAAATACAGAGGAAGCAGACAACAAGTTTTACAACAGACTCAAGAACCTGCCAGACCTATTAGAGGCACAAAATCTTCCAGGTTAAAATTTAAAAAAATATGCAACTTGAAATTACCTTTATGAATGAGGTGTCAGTGTTGAACTTAAGGTTTTGAAGTAATTGGTAAATGTTGCCTGCAACAAAATGTTGCAGCGTCTCCTCCCTCCTAACAGGCATGCTTCTGTTTTGGATTCCATCCAGCCGTTTCCTCTACTCCTCCCCCCCCCCCCCCATTACGTATGGAGTATGCTCAGACATTAGGCCACTGTGATTTTTTGCTCCCTTCTGAAAAGGGTGTTTTGTTCCCTGAGCATGCTGTTGTTTTCTTTGTCATGCTATTAGGAGGGAGTGGGTGCTTGAATACATGTCCAACAGCTTTTCTTTAGTTAAGGTACAGGCAAAGAATATGGGGCTCAAGGACCAGTTCTTTACTCCAGTCCCACTTAGGATGAAAGCAGCAAAGGGCCAAGACAGAAAGTCTTGGTAGACCAGCTGAAGTTCCTACGTTGGCTGCTCCTGCTTTAAAGCAACTGCAACTAGATCTTAAACAATGTAAAAGCAGAATGACCACTCACGGGATTCAGCTACTGTATCAGATTACAAATAAAGTTCTCAAAAATATACAGCTCGTTGTCATGTAAATGGGTGACTTGAGATGATCAAGCGAGCTGATCAGCCAGAGACTGGAATGTGTCTGCAACAAGTAGCAAACTACACAGAGCCGTGTTATAGTACATTTAGTATGTGCAACAGATCTCTGGCGCAGAATTTGGAGAGCCACCACTTTCATTTTCAGTAAAGCAGGTGTGGTCTCTCTATAGCCACAAATACGGAAACAGGTTTGCGGTACCCACATACAGTGGACGCTTGGGTTGGGAACTTGATCCATGCGGGATGCACGTTTGCAACCCGCAGCGGTGAGTCTGTGCACGTGTGGGTTGCGATTCGGCGCTTCTGTGCATGCGCAAAGCGCGATTTAACGCTTCTGCGCATGCACGACCACTGAAACCCGGATGTAACCCGTTCTGGTACTTCCAGGTTTTGGCGGGTCCGTAACCCGAAAAAAACGCAACTTGAAGCGTCTGTAACCCGAGGTATGACTTTATTTCCAACAAATGAATGCATGCCTTCTGCGGCTATGAGTCCCTTGCCCATGGTTCCTAGTCAGGATGGGCCAACTCACGCACTCCTGTTATTCCCAAACTTAGCTCTGCTTTTTTTTTCTGCCGCTGGTTGCCAAACAGAAATCCAAGTTCTGGATGAAATGTGGAGTATTCAGATTGTGCAAAGTTGAGACATCTTTAATGAACTTTTTTTGGGGGAGGGGGATTGGCACAGAATGCAATTCATGTCTAGGAATTACTTTTTTAAAAAACAAACTATACATGCTTAATACTTTCCCAGTTCGATTCAAGCTATTTGTTTCTGTTGCCAGACAATTTCGGAAATGTCTCTGAAGAAATGAAGCCTGTTCGGCACTTAGCCTGGGTTGCCTGTGGTTACGTAATATGGCAGAATTCGACAGAAGACACTTGGTACAAAATGGCAAAAGTGCAAAGTGTCAAGCAAGTGGTAAGTGAATGGATCAAAGAGGGGAGTCTGACAAGTTGTCTGTCCTATGGGAAGAAGAGTTCACTGTGGAGTGCAAAGTGAAAGTATTTTTTTAAGGAAGTCACAAAGTGGAGATTCACATGGGATTCTCAGTGTATACTTGCCTAAGAAAGCTTGACATATTCATCATCATCATAATTTATACCCTGCTTCTCCATTTTGGCTTAATTTTTGTTAAATAAATCAGGACATGGTGTAATATGTCAAGTGTGGGTGTTCCTCTGGGGTTGTATTTACCTAATTTTAAGGCCTGCTGTTATTACCGTATTTTTCGCTCTATAAGACGCACCAGACCACAAGACGCACTTAGTTTTTGGAGGAGGAAAACAAGAAAAAAAATATTCTGAATCCCAGAAGCCAGAACAGCAAGAGGGATCGCTGCGCAGCGAAAGCAGTGATCCCTCTTGCTGTTCTGGCTTCTGGGATAGCTGCGCAGCCTGCATTCACTCCATAAGACTCACACACATTTCCCCTTACTTTTTAGGAGGGGAAAAGTGAGTCTTATAGAGCAAAAAATACAGTATATCCTGATATGGAAAACCACAGAATTCTTTTTCCCATGACTGTATATAAGGGAACAGTGCATTTTACTTCCTCTTTAAAGGGAAACTCTTCTGTTCAGCTCTCCTGACCAAGCCCTAAAGGATTTCAGGTCACAAGAACCCAGAAGTACACAGAGTCTCCATAGTGATTTAATACTAAGACAAAAACAAGCAATGAGTCAGTTCTAAACCCATTAAATTGTTTATGGAAACGAGAGCATTCCTTCTTATAAGAATAGAATCCCTTTTCAGAATTAAGGAACGGCAGAGTTTTAAATTAATGGGTCTTTGCCTTCTGGATGTTAAAGGGAAGCAAGGAAGGAAACCTAGTTCCTCCTGTTAGTTCAGGTTCAGTGTTTCCACGCTCATTGAACATTTGAAAGTGGCTAGCTGTACATGGGTGGCAGCCGTACTTACTAAAGTCAGGGTATGGTTTCCCCCCTCTTTTGTTGGTTGCAGAAAAGGAGTGATGATTACCTGGAATTTTCCTATGTGATTCTGATCCATGATATTGTCTCCCAGGTAAGTAACAGAATTGTAAAGCAAATAAAGGAGGGGGCGGGGGGAGAGAAGAGGACCTTTCCTGCAAAAAGCAATCCTGGAACAGTGATCACCACAGTATCAGGATGTTAGGACAGGAAGGAGCACTCAGGGGCCCCAGAGCTGTTCACTGTCTTGTATCAGGATAGCCAATGGAGGGCCCTGCATTTAATATGGGACTCCCAACTCCCATGGATGATGGCACTTGTAGATGAATAATACCTGGGAGGACACAACATTGGCTAGCCCTAGGCTTCTGTGCAGTCTGCAGAGTACAGCAGAGCATGGGATAAAGACAGTCTGAAAAGCAAGGCACTGCCAACCTTCATGGTTAGGCACAGGTCTCGGCATTGCTTCAGAACCAGGACTAAGACCCATGATACGGAGCAACAGGATTCACCTTTCTCAGAATCTGTATTCATTTAAAACACAAACGCACACACAAACTCAAGATATTTCTGGCCACAAATATAAGTCTGGAAGAGTGTTGTCAGTGCCTGCTGCACTCTCAGAAGTTAGATTCCCAAAGGTAAGGAATAGACCCATTGGGCAAAGGAGTTTGCAGGGGTTTTTTGGACTAGATGACCCTTGGGGTCCCTTCCCACTCTACAATTCTATAAGCAGACTTCGCAAAAGTGTAGGATTCCACCAAATGAGATTTTTAAAAAAGCAAATGTGCATAAACTATACATGTCACAGAATGCATGGTGCAGAATTTGCATTGCCTGTTAAGGTTGCAACTTTTGTCCCACTGATACAGGTTTCTATTCACCAGCAATCTGATCTGAAGTAATTAGCATCAGTTCACTCCTACCACGAAAGCTTCACTTCCCGACTTCTACAAGCCAGCCTTCCACTAAAGGCAGAGGCTAGGCTGGCCGATTAACCAACCCTCCTTACCTAGATTACAGTATGCATTTATTTATTTAAAGTGTGGAGGACACAAACACAGACAGCCCTGACTATATCCTAACTTGAAGCACCCTGTCTCTTTAGTTGCATTTTCCTAACTTTACTAGCTGAGCACTCCAAGAAAAACCAGCTCTAGGCAGTCAGAACCCTCAAAACAGCACACAGTGGGGAGAAGGGGGGAGATTGTTCAATATAGCAAGCAGAAATTCCACCCAGAGGTTCTGTCATTAGAAGGCTCCTTCTGTCAGAGGAAGGCTTTGGATTCAAACTGTGACCCTCTCCCAGATTAACCCCAGCTGTGCCATAAGCAGAGAACAGGAGTGAATAAAATGCCCACGTCCATCTCGTGGGTGGGTGCCTATTCAGCAAATCACTCTAGATCCCCCAACTATGCAAAAGCGCATGCTACACAGGAAGGCAAATCTTAGCCAATCTGACATCAGATATGTAAACTTGTTGATCCACCATATTGCAATTGTACATACCTGCACACAAATCACTTTTCATCTAGTGACACCTCTTATGTACTACAAATGCCTTGTATTGCAGAGCTTGTGTCTCCCCCTCCTACCCACCCTGGCTTCTCTCATTTAGATTAAGGTGCAGGAACCAGAATCGTTATATAAGAATGCAATACCAAGCCAGAAGTACAAAGGAAGTCCACAGGAGGATATAAGCCAGGGGTTGGCAACCTAAGGCCCATGGGCCGGTAGCGGCTCACAAGGCTTGTCTAACCGGCTCATGGCAACCCCTGCTCTCCCCCGCCACCGGCTCTCACCAGCACGGGTTGATGGCGCCTGTGAGCATGCGCACGGGTGCTCTTCCGACCTGGAAGCGTATGCATGTACACGTGCTCCGGCCCATCCTCCGACGGACAGAGCATCAACCAGCCCATCCTCAGATAAGGTTGCCAACCTCTGATATAAACCTTATTCCCAACCATGAGAACAAAATTTGTAGATGGTGACCTAGCGAGGCTGCTGTCTATTGAACACTTCTGGTTGCATGGTTCCCTATGTGCATGAATTGGGCAGAGAGCATGCCTATATTACAGGTTTGAAAAGTCAGCCTTGAAACAACACTGCATGAAACAGTAAGGTGCGGAGGAACTACCTGGCAATATTTCATTGAAACAATTCTCTCCTTTTCCTGCCATCCACATTCTTGATTGCCTTGCTCTATGAGAGTCACTGCACTTTATTAAGAATTCCAGAGTTGGAAAGAGGAGGAGGAATGATATGTGACCTGGCCCGAAGTTACTAGATAGGAAAAGAACGTGATTTTCCAGATATGCAGAGATAACAACGCTGTTCCCTGGTTTCTCTAATACCCTGGCTGTTCTAACGTTTGGGCTTTTTTTCTTTTTTGTAATCCACAGGAGATTATTCCTTGGCACATGCAAGTTTTATGGAACCCGCAGCATGGAGTTAAAGTCACACGGAATAGCCGTCAGCCAAAACGTGCAGCACAGGATTAGCGGCCACAACTTTGACCCTACTACAGTGGTACCTTGGATCCTGAACGGCTTAGTTGTCAAACAAATCGGCAAACCAGTGTTCTGGTTTGTGAACATTTTTTGGAAGCAGAATGTCCGATGCAGCTTCCAACTGAGTGTAGGAAGCTCCTGCAGCCATTCGGAAGCCACAGCTTGGTTTTCAAACGGTTTCAGGAGTTGAATGGATGCCCGAAACGGATTAAGTTTGAGAACCAAGGTACCACTGTATTAGAGGTTGCTCAGATGTCTTTAAAACAACTTCGTTTAGCTGGAGGAAGGGCTATAAAATAGGCTTACACAGGTTCAGAAACCCCTACATGCATAAGGACCAATGCAAATTATTTCGTGGCCTCGGTGTGGTGGCTCTCACATGCCAGAGTGAACACTTACGGTACAGTTGCCACAATGCTCTCTCTGAATGCTACTTTAGGCTTCCCGGTCTCACAAGGACAACCATATTCTCTTTCCATTCTCTAGGTAGAAACAGCACACACAAAAATATACTGATTAAAATCTGTTGCCAAATGGGTAGCGCTAAGCATAATCTCACCTAATTATTCCCGAATGCTACCTACAATCACTGGGAAAATGTCAAGCCAACATTTTCCAGCTGTAGTATCTCTCTAGTTAATTAGAGCTTCTTAGAAAGAAGTCCACCCACCCAGAGCAGATTTGGAGTTTTTTGAGTAATTTTTTGGTCCACATCCTATACATATGCAAGATTTCTGACCTTCTATATATACTTCATGAGCATGAACCACAAAAAATTGCTAGCACAGACCCAACTGAAGAATTACAACCGGCACTGTATACTTTATACATAGCCAGATAGGAAGCTGGGGAGCACAACTAAACTATAAATGCTGAATTAAACAAATACTTTTGCCAAGTGAGACTCGGCAGCACACTTTACCAGTGCAATCTTGTAACAATCACCTGTGCATAGATTTCCAGGTGCAGTTCTCCCATTCCTGAAACAATGGTCTCTTTGCTCTCGCTGTCAAAATGAACTCTGAAAGTGGGGTCTTCCCTCGTGAAGCGGTTAATGCCTTTTGAAAACTTATCCAAGTCATTCTAGAGGGGGGCGGGGAAATAAACAAGGGTAAATTCATGTCTTTCGCATCATTGATTATAACAAGATAGTCAAAAGTGCAGGGGTTACAGGACAAAATCCCATTAAAAAATTGAGCTAGATGGTTTCTATAAACTGTAGGGTATCAATGGAACGTGTTGGCTTCAGAGCATCACAAACTTGAGACTGCTCCACTCAGTACTGCATTGACAAGTAAATACACAACTAGGATTGATCACACATAATTGCCAGGGCATCAAGCCTATTGGAACTCAGCCCCAGGAGAACCACCACACCAAAGGCTCAGCTTCTCCTGAACACAAGAACCAAATGCAACAGAAACATCACCATTTTCCTCCAAGAAAAATCAGATCACAACATTCCTTCCAGATAACTTTTACTATTCACCCTTGTTTGGACTTCCGGTGCCTACCTTGTTTGATGGCTTCATTGCCACTGAAATGACAGGATCAGGGACATGAATAGATTCCTATGAAAGGGAACACAGAAACCAAAGAAGCATTTGTTAATATAGAAACACTTGAAAATTATCTTTCCAGATAATTATCTTTACTTTTAACACTCAAACCCACAAGCAGCCTTCCTCTTTCTTTCTAGGACTCGAAATTTATGGGGTTTGTTAAAACAAAAGTTTCCTAATAAGGGATCAGATCCTGGTTTGTGGTCAGAAATTAAACGACAGTTTCCCTGTTTGGATGTTATGGATAAATCAGAATTTTTTCATTATGGCATTTAAGAGAAGGGAGGAAAGAAGGAAGCAGGAGCGGGCATAGCACTCATCTTATTAAACTGAGATTGCTACATCTGAATTGTGCTGTACTCTTCATAGAAGGGCTGGATGATACATTGCTGATCATGCTCATTCATTTCAACAGAATGCAGAACTGACACTTGCATAAACTGATTGTACTTGTAGGTATTTTTAAAAAAATAATTGTAATAGCTGTAAAAGCAGACTCAAAATAAAACCTTTTTTTAAAAAAATAAAAGTTTCTTTAGTACAGAGGATATTTAGATTAAGGAATAACATCTGAATTGAGATTTTAAGAAATATAAAAAGAACACACAGTTCAATTCAGAGGAGGAACTTACCATGGAAAGGTCAGTGTTAGATTTTTCTGAAAATGTATCCCCACTAGCACAGTCGATGCCAAATAATGCACAGATGTCTCCTGCATAAACTTCTTCCACATCCTAGCAGAAACAAAACAAAAAATAGCATTTTAGGTGCTTTTTATGGTATTAGGCAAGAGTGCAACCATTCTACAGCAGTGGTAAGACCTGCATGCATAGTCTATCCCTGATTATAACAGGGTTCTCCTAGATTCCAAGCTGCCAATAGAGGCTCTCAGTGTTTCAGTGGCAAGGAGTACCTATGCCCTTGTTCCAGCTGGTTGACAAATTATAGCTACCATAGTCTAGGTTTCTGATAAGCTCCCGACTGGGCTACTGCAATGTACACTACGTAGGGCTTCACTTGAAGACAGCCCCAAAGCTGCAATTGGTGTACAGTGCCACTGCCCATTTGTTGTCTGGGGCAGTAAAATGGGATCATGCCACGCTGATCCTGAAAACTCACAAATGCAGCAAAGTCTGATTCACGCTGACTGGTAAAGCTACCTGTCAGGAGTTAGATAATCACATTTTTTCTGCTAGATTAGCCAACATGTCAAGACAGTAGTAACCAGAGAAAGATGAGGAAGAGTGGAAGATGAGGAAGATACTAGGATCAGGAACGAGTGGTTCCCAGAGAGGATGGGGCGACTGATTGCCAGTATAACAAAAGCCAATTGACTAAAAGCGTTTTTACTATCAACTTGAAAGGTAACTTTTGAGACTACTAAGATGAACTTGGAGACAAATTTAGCCCTTAAGAATAATTGAAGAATGGCCCATTTTGGCCTTACTGTTGAAAGATCAGTGGGCAGCCATCCACTTCCAGCTGTTTTTATAGGGCCGTGGTGTTTAAAAGCTAACTGGGTGTGAAGAAATCGACTTGGGATTCTCCAGGCAGACATTTTATAACATCATGGGACTGTTTCGATTTTTCGTTTGCGAAGAAAAGGGGTTCTCGGGGCAAGGGGTGGATAAAATAGGGGAGCAGTTATGGCAGAATGTTAATTGTTATATAACAGGCATGTACAACAGGCCGATTGCGATCTACCAGTTGATCGTGGGGTGACTGTGGTCTATCGCCCTTGCTGAACCCTCCCCCCAAGAAGCTCAACAACTCTGGTGATTCCTCCCCAAAACAAGCTCAACAACTCTGTTCAACCCAATGGGTAGATCACTGCCAGTTTACTGATAGTGGGAGTAGATTGCAGTCTCTTGGAAGTTGGACGTGCCTGCTATATAAGCCTTCCTGAGCTTGCAGCTTTGGTCAGCAGCTGTTTGGTTTTTCCAAAAGAGGGCCACGTATTGAATGGAGCAGCGAAGGCTGGAGAGCCAGTGGCAAGGGCTCTTGCTACACCCTCCCATGGTAGCTGAGACTCTGTTCCCAGTGGGAACAGAAACTTTAAAAGGGCTCTTGATGACACTGAACAGCAACAGCTGTATTTCCATCTCTCCATTTTCTACATCCTGTCTGCCTACACTACATAAGGCATGAAATGCTGCTGTTCATACTTCTTCTCAATTGACATGGGAGAAAGCAGCTACAGAGAGGTGTCCTCAGGATCAAGGGCGAAACTGAGGGAGGAGATGGCAACAGTATTGCGCTGTACAGTCGAGCAGGGTATCAACTGAAAACCATATAGATGTTTTTGGAGAGGAAACAAATTTTAGGAGCAGCATTTATCTGCAAATAAAATCCCACCGCACAGGCAAGGAACTGAAACACCTTTAACTAGAAATGCCTTCTCTTTGACCCAGATTGCATACAAAGAATGCCGTAGCGAAGTGGTTCCCAAACCCTTTTTTCCTCATGGACCACTTGAAAATTGCAGGTGGCCTTGGCGAATGACTTGATGACTATTCTACTTGTTGCAGCGACAGTAATATGCTGTGCTTGCTGCGGTATGCTTTGCAGATGTATTTCTATTGCTTCTTTTATTTCTTATATTGCATTTTCTTGCATTACACTTTGCATCCCATAGAATCTGAATCGTTACACGACAGAATACAACATAAGAAATAAAAGAACAAATACAATTTAAAGATCAATGCAGACGTGATAGGAACCACCTGACTGAAACTCGCCCAAGAGTCACAGTTCGGGAACCCCTGCCTTTGTTTACATTTTCTTCACTGAATGGAAAGGGATTGAAGTGGAATAAAATGCCTCACAGACTGGGTTTTGCCTTGATATTCACCTCCATCGTGTCTGCATGCATGCGGACCAGTCTTGGCACCCGAACCTTCTTCCCAGTCCTGGTATTGTAGATGGAATCGCCTTTCTTCAGCATCCCCTGATAAACGCGCACATAGGTGAGCTGCCCAAAACGCCCAGCCTGCAAGCGGCAGAAAACAGCAGCCAGTCAATTGAGGGAGACTAAACTTTAGGAGAAGCAGAGGGAATCAGCGCAACACACATGCTGAGGTGTGGAGCAAACGGCCCCTATCAGCTCTGTCCCAACAAGTTTCAGCTCAGTTGTCCTTAGTTAGAAAGTTTTGTAGAAAGTTTAAACTTGACCTACCTCAAGTTTAAATGCCAGGCCCAAAAAAGGCAAGGAACTGTCTCTGGCAGAGCTCAGCGAAATCATAGATTTTTCCTTAGAATCCCTTGAAGAAGAGAAAAGTTAAGTTTAAAATGCAGTATTTCTACGGTACTTCTCAATCCATTCTTGTTGTGGGGATCTGTTCTGAAGGATGATCTAATGAGCAGCCTTAACAAGCTCTGAAGACCAATGGCAGATGTAGAATTATTACTAAGAACAGCCTTAGTTGGGTTTATGTCCCTTTTGTATTTACCAGTCAAATCAGTCCTACCTGGTTTCTGTGCAGGTTTTTAAAGGAAAACCCTTAAAAATCCACATGGATTGTGTGTGTATCCTTCCCTGCAAAGGGAAATTTAAGATGTGGTCGAAGCGCTGCCTCTCCTTTCTTCCTTTGCAGATTTTAGCTACTTGGAGCAGCTAATGTATGCTAACTCCTGCTGCATGGATTTAAAGAGTTCTGGAATTCCCCCTGGAAGCGATGGGCAAAAAAATATGTCATTGATCTCAGAAAGAGAGTAAGGGGGAAATTATGATTGTCCCCCTGGGTCCAGCAGCTTCCCCACTCGCCATGCAATCTCCCTGAGAGTGACTGCATGTCATCACGTCCTGTTGCTGCCAGGGGGAACTGGAGACACATTTTCATCCCACACAGCCAGATCCACATGGGCTAACTGATTCCAAGTAACTAGTACATGAAAGTGAAGCCCAAAGGGTCAGCTCCCAGGTCAGCACATTGGGGAATCGGGCAGGAGTCTTGCCCAATTCGCACATCCAAGGAGGTGCAGGCAAGGTGTCTGCTGTAGAATCTGAACTCACCAAATTCCTTCCTAAGAATTCTTAGGCTTGATTTTTAGCAGAAACGTGCACTGCTGGAGGTGTAAGTGAATTAAGGCAGATTTAATACATATCTTTTGGAGTTGTAAAAAACCCGATGCATTTCTGGACAGAAGCACCCAAATATTATACGGACAAGTACAGGCTATGATCTCCCGAGAAATCCTAAAATTCTCCTTTAGATAACTTCATTCTGAAGTCGTTAATACTGATTTACAGCTGATTACTGCACCACCAACATACAGCAAAACAAGTGTATTTCACAAAAACGGAAAAATAAAGACATTCCCATAACAGGATAAGGGAAATCTGGTGAACTCTCTTAATGTTATAGCTTACATACGAGAGAAACACAATGCATAATAATGAAGAAAAGAAACTTATTGAGAGAGGGGCCTTGTTTCTGCGCTATGGAATGACAATGTAAATGACGCTGTTTTTCCTTTTAATTTATTCATGGTACTATCGGTTTTCTGTTATGTTGCCCCGTTCCCACCTTCAAGTGTCATTTCCCTTTCCTATAATTGCTGCATATATTTACTCTCTATTTTTGAAGTTAGTTTTTTTTACTGAAACATAAATAAATCTTAAGTCAGCCTCTAAGCATCTTGCAGCATTGGATTCTGTAGAGACAGTCAAAAGGGTTTTTAAAATAATAACAATGATAATAATAAAAAGAGAGAGCTGAAGGTAGTTTAACAGACACATGCCCATTTCTTTTGTCTAGTGTCACCTCTAATCAAACGAAGTTTCCAGGGTTTTAAAGGACTACAAAAGCCAGCAACGCTCGTTTACTAGAGACAACAGTGGAATGAGCATCCACATCACAAGCAACAATGCCTCTATTATATCACCTTCTGTTCTTTCTTTTTTAAAAGATGCCTGATTAATCACTGGGGATGAGAACAAGAAAAGACCTACAGCTTTTGATGTGTCTGCCATCTACAGGCCAAACAGGTGTACCCACCAGCTTAGGAGACGAAAGCATGCCTCAGACAAAGTGGGCTTTATCTTACAAAATACTGCCTTTCATCTTCAACTGTAGTATAGGGTACTTAGTGGCCACATTATAAATAAATAAATATATTTCCTCCCTCCACAGGAAAATAAGGCCTGTGCAGACTAGATCTGTTTTCCTCCACTTTCTGTACTTACTCCTGGTTGGAAATCGCGTAGTTCTGGACTTCGGATGGGTTTGGGAGGTATTCCAGAACAGCGTCCAACAGAGGCTGCACACCTTTGTTCTTCAGAGCACTTCCTACCAGCACAGGTGTGAAGGATTTGCTGAGTGTTGTCCTTCTGATTGCAAGCTTGGGAGAAACAGAACATTCACAGCGTTAACAGTTGGGTTCTTAAGGGCAATTGGCATACAAGAACGCACAGCATCATGCTTTCTGTTCCCCACCAAATGAAAACACTTGTAAGAAAAGCAATGTTTGTGACTACACGATACAAAGAGGGACTTTTTCAACTGTGGAAAGAAGCTTTAGAACAGGACACCAGCTCAGTTTTTAAACTGAACAAAGAGGCTTCCCTGAAAGGTTTGCTTTCTTTACGTATCTCAGGAGGTGGCCAAAATTCACACAGAAAACAAGTCCTTAGTGTAATCATCACACTTGCATTTGAGTGTGAATGTCATGGTGTTGAGGATCAACCTACTAGATGCAAGAGAAAGCAAATGCCAAAAGGGAAAAGAAAGAAAAGTACGCATAAGCACAAAGCTGCTACCAAGTAGAAACCGGGATTTGTTGGGGTTTAACAAGTTGGAAGAAAAGCCACGGCCAAGCTTGCATTGCAGCAACTACAACTGGAACAACGCTAATAGGTTCAAGCCCCACATTGAGCAAAAAATTCCTGCACTGCAGGGAGTTGGACTATATGACCCTTGTGGTCCCTTCCAGCTCTACAGTTCTATGATCCTATCAACCTGGGATAGTTCAGTTGACATCCCTGTGTTGTGACTCTGTGTATATCTGTAATGGTGCAGCAGCTGTCGTTTCGGCTCGAGCCCTGCTCATTCCTGTCAGGGCCTAGCCTGGATCTGCCACCAGATGTATTTGTCTCTAGACCTGTGCTCAGGGCCTCCAAGATCAGCGGCTCAAGCTAGGAAAGGGCCAAGAGCCAAACTCCTGTGACTGATACCAGGCCTGGCAAACCTAAAGGTTTAATACCATCTGTCAGACTGGAGAGGCCAGCCCTGTACATCCCTATTCCCTTCTAGGTTGGATGAGGACTCTGGCTCCACATTACCTTGGCAGGCCAGATCTGAAGTACCAAGTTTAAGCCCTCAAAGTACCTGATCTTCCTTCCTCTCCCTGCAAATAGAATATGGCATATCGCAGACAGGAGACCAAGATTAGCACCCTGACTGGAAATATCTGTGTTCTATTCACAGAAACTGCAACTCCCTCCTTGCCTTTCCCGCCCCCCCCTTTATTTCTGCAGATGACTTTTGTACCCTGACTTCAGCAGCTGCTGCACACCAGTCAGGCTTTCAACCTCAGGAGTAATGTTTTGCTGTCAGCAAACGAGATGTTTATTTAAGTCCATGATGCCTAAGGAGCACGCAAGAAGAACCCAATGTGTTTTCCATGAAAAATTATTTTAAACCAGAACTTGGCTGCCTGCCACAGGCTAGAAATCCATCACTGGGGACAAATTAGCACAAACAAACCTGCCTCTTGGCCTTTCCACAGCCATTAAGTAATTTGTAATTAATTAGCTCTGGGAGAAGGAGGGCTGGGGGAGACAAGGCCACTTTGAACCAGAAAACTGTTTTTGCCACCCATATGACAAATGATTTTAAGATGATGTTTTTTTCATCCTAGATGCAGAGCCACAGGATGAATCGACTACTTTGACCACATGCACATCACACCTTTAAAGCACTATGAGAACACTTTAGACAGTCATGGCTTCCGCCCAAAAATTCTGGAAGCTGGAGTTGGTTAAAGGGGCGGAGAGTGACAGTTCAGAGTGGCTTAACAATCAATCTCTCTTCCAAGGGAACTCTGGGAATTGCAGCTCTAAGAGATGAATAGGGGAATCAACAGACTACAGTAAATTGTTATCATTTAAATGTGTGGTGTGGCTGTGCCCATAGCAGCATGCTTACATGTCCAAGAAAATGCTTTTAAAAATGTTGCTATGTATCCCCAACTCTGTAAGAGGAGTATTTCTCTTGAGGACTCCAACCAGGCTACAAAAGGAGCCTTGTAGTCCTGTTCATGCTTTCTTTGGGGGGGGGGAGCTGTCAGAAAGGGGAGGGGGAAAGGAAAAAGCAACCTTTTCTCTTTTGCACATGAGACTTTCCCCTGCTGTGCTAAACACAGCTGAGGTGAAATACCACGGAGAGCTAACGCCAGTCAGAACAGACAACACTGAGATAGTTGGGATAATAGACTTGGTATAAGGCAGAACCCCAGCATTAGAAGACTCAGGTTTGAGAATGTCAGCCCCAAATCCTAGCATGTTATAACTATATAGCACTGCAGGCAGGGTTCTGGGGAGCTTCCTCATGCAATGCCCCAGTAATATGCAGGGAGCGAAGCCTTTCAGCTCACAGCACAACTGCCCTCAACCCTAATATTCCCTTTTAGGGTACTTGCTACATCTATATCTAGTAGACTGTACCACTTCAGTTTCCTCCACACACACACCCCGCCGCCCCAAGTGACATCTCCACATTCTTTACAGCTTGGAAGTTCACAGGTGCTCGCTGGTTTCTTCAGGTTTTTAAAAAACACCCTTCCTTCTTTCAATTCGCAAATGTGTGTACATTTGCAGTCCTAGGAAGTCCCCCGTGTTTATAGAAACTGCTAACTTACCGTATTTTTTGCACCATAACACTCACTTTTTTTCTCCTAGAAAGTAAGGGGGAATGTCTGTGCGTGTTATGGAGCAAATGCCTACGGATGGCGGGGGGATCTGCTGCAGTCGTGAGCAGAGGATCCATAGTTCCCCTTCCTTCCCTCCTCCGTGGCTCACTTTGAAACAGGAAAGCGGGAGAAGAGCCGCTGAGTGGGGAGGAGAGAGGGACAGAGAGCCTGCTTGCTTTAAAGGAGCAAAGTGGGAGAGGAGAGGAGTCGCTTACACAAGTGTAAGCGGCTCCTGTCCGGTTGGCTCCTTTAAAGCAAGCAGGCTCTCTGTCCCTCTCTCCTCCCCACTCAGCTCGCTAAATAGCAGCAAAGTTTTTCAGCGAGCCTGGGAGGCGGGAGAGAAGCAGAGCTTGCTTGCTTTAAAGGAGCAAAGCGGGAGAGGAGAGGAGCCTTCTCCTCTTATACCCCTCTTCTGCATTATTAACAGCATCCTTCTCCACCCACCCCACGCGTGTTCCTTGTCCCTTGAGTGCTTTTCCTTCCCTCCCCACTTAAAACGTGGTTACAAAGCACGGATCCACATGGATCCTCAGGATTTTTGCACTGGGTCACCCCAAATTCACCATCAGATCACATAGCATGTCCATGGCTACAGCTTGCACCAAAAAAATCACGCACCCACTGTTGCCTGGGGCCGCAGTGGTACAAAAACGTGGTTACAAAGCATGGATCCACATGGATCCTCAAGATTTTTGCATTGGGCTACCCCAAACTCACCGTCAGATCACATGTCTGTGGCCACAGCATGAACCACAAAAATCATACATCCACTGTTTCGTTTAGAATATTTTTTTTCTTGTTTTCCTCCTCTAAAAACTATGTGCGTGTTATGGTCAGGTGCGTGTTATAGAGCGAAAAATACGGTATTTTGGGCAACTCTGCTTTGCTTCCAAATTAATAGTCACTCAACCACCACTGTTAGAAGTAACGACAGCTAGAGATTCCACACATTTGTCTAATCCTTTTAAAAAGCCATCCAAGCTAGATGGGCAACACTACCATTAAGTTAATTTCATGCTGGGTAAAGAGGTAAAAGCATGCCTAGGATCAGAAGGCGCTCTAGACGACCCAATCTTTTTTACTCTTTTTATTTTCTGCACAGATCAAGAGACACATATTTGACTGGAGTACGGAGTTTCTAAAAGAGGATGAAAAGAGTCCAAGGGTGCAATCCTGTGAACAATTGGAAGTAAATGCAATTGAATTTTGGTACTTTTTCTGAGTAAAAGTATATGAGGTTACAAATCTCTCCTTTGAATTTTTAAATAATGGCACGAATACAGATGGATATCCACATTATTTGAATGTCCCTTGGACTGTTTGGTTAATGGACAACATCAAACGCTGTAACTAAGGTAGAGGTTTCGAAATTAATATTCCTACAGTGTATTTTGACTCTTGGGAGCAACCTGATCACTCAGCTGTGCTTAAAATGGGCTTCTTCCTCTTAAGCATTTTGTAAGAGCCTGGAATACAGAGGGAAACCATTGCATAACAACCACCATGCAGCAATTCTCCAGACCGCAAAGTCATCAAAGGCTAACAAGGGTAATGGGAGATTTATTTCCACATTCAAAGCTCTATATTCCATGCTCATCAAGTCCTCAAGCCAAATCCAGTCCTTGCCCAAGAGGGTTCAGCTACGGTGAAACAGTGTCTCCTTACACCAACTGCACATCAATTTAGACACAAGAGGATGGGGGTGTTGAAATGCTGTGAAGGATTTCTACCTGCAAGTAAACCCTGTGTCGGACTATACAGATCACAGAGGGCATTAGGCTCTGTCTAGAAACAAATATACATATGCAGGTACAAATATTGCATTTATATTTATAAGGAGACGAGGAAGAGATCACAGATGACCTCTAGGATCTGTCACAACTTTGTCTGTCACACCAAACAGCTGGTCTCCTTCTGCCAGCTATTCTCCCCTCCAGGCATCTGTTGCTATTAATGCCTGGTACCGAAAACCTGCCACTTCCCTGGATAGCAGCAAAGCGTCATAACAAAGATATTGCAGACACAGAGAGCCCAGCTCACTCGTTTAGCTTCTAAAGGCAACAAAATGTGATGTCCCAACACACAAAGCTGTCTCTGAATGAGAGTGGCAATATAATTATCCCATTAAAAGCAAACAAACCAAGCAAAGAAGCAGGGTCATCACAGCTTTGCTATCTTAAAAAAAAAAGAATCCTACCCATTAATCCTACCTAATTCATTTAAAATTATAGTCCAACTAAATTGTAGGATAGATTTTTATTTAAAGACTTTATATTTCACCCTTGCAGAACCCTGCAAGTACGTTTTATGCTTTTACTGCAAATACTGCGTATTATAATATGCAACAGTTATTATAAAGTTATATTCCACAATTGTGAATATATACCGTATATATATAGAGAGAGAGAATTGTAGTGTACATCTAGAGAGATCCAGTGTGGTACAGTTGTTGGACAAATCCCTACTCATCCATTAAGATCACTGGGTGACCATGGACCAACTTCTGTCTCTCACCCTAATGTACCTCACAAGATTGTTCTGAGGATAAAACAGGGGGGGGGCATGCATGCCATCTTCAGCTCCTTGAAGAAAAAGTGGGATAGAGAGACAGACTGATAGATATCGACAGATGGATGAAGCCAAAGCAGCCCCTCTAAGTTATCCAATCTAAGCAACTGAAGGGCAGAAGTTCAAACGTCAACGCTCCACCCATCAGAACAGGGGCAGCACCTGAAGGCCCCCGGATGCCAAGCCAGAGAAGAAGGCAGTGTGTTACTGACTCCTTTGCCATTATTTTCAGATAGCATTAAGGAGTTTGTGACTATAAGACATGTAACCAGTATTAGTCCAAGGGAAGTGTGGGGAACCTGTGGCCCTCCAGATGTTGTTGGACCACCGGCCATGACTAGTTTAAGGCTCTTATCCTTGATTAATTCCGATGAGAGTGCCCCACCTGTTCGCTTTTACATATGCAAAACATTATACAGCAAATGCATACATCAAAGGACTTTGGGCAATCCTTCAGGCAATGGGGAGAGAACTGAAGTCCCTTTACCTTCAAGTCAGTGACTGTTGGGATTTTCTCTTCAAGAAAAAGCTCCCCAATCTGTTCGTCTAAGTTTGCAACACATTCAACCAGTTCCTGGCGGCGATCGGTAGACTCTGCTCTGAACTCAGGGGGAATGTCATCATATTTAACCGTTTGGCTACAGAAGCAGAGAAAACAAGCAGACCATCAGAAGCCAACCAACTAGAAATGTTAGAAATCTCACATGCTCCTGTGGGCTTCAGTGAGAACCACAACCATCAATTTATTCCGCTCTCATGAGTGACACATTTTCAGTTCTTTTTACACCTGCAAATCTAGCAACAAAGCTCTGCTAGCAATAATACACATTTGATTTAAAATTGGACCCCTTGTACCTTCTGTCTAATAATATTCACAAAGGCTATAATCCTATGTGCCTTTAAAATTGTGGGGTGTAAACCAGGATTGAGATCATAAGGATACAATAAAACCAAGATTGCTGGATGTTTTTCAAATAATGGACATTTTTCTCTTAATGCTCTGTCGTGTTGAGTTCACAATAATTTCAGGTGTACACAAAGATCCATATAAATATGACACTCTTGGATGGGTTGTTCCTGTGACAAACACTGTTCTCCTAGAAAGAGGCTCACTTAGCCATCTTACGCAGAAGGAATCACAGATACATTTACATTTTTTAAACCCATGCTGGATAGAGCAAAGTTATAGCTCCAGTTGAGCAACTGCTGTTTGAGGGTATAAATATGATCATATTTATATTTCAATTCCTATTCAATTCTCATTCCCCTATGAAAATGTCACTCTGCCTTATGAGCAAACAAATGTGAAGACAAAATGGCCAATGAAATCTTTTTCCACTCAAAAGAACCAATATTAAAGCTGAAAGGCTTCACTCGCTTTACCAGGGAGTAAGCCCCACTTTCTTCTCAATAGACATGTTAAGGAATGAACTGTAAATCTCTCACTGCAGCTTCCTGCAAAGGTGCAGGATCCCTGAGTATTTTCACATACCAGAGATTCAAAGGCCAGCCTGGAGTTAACTTTTATTATATGAATTTTGTCCACCCAAGGCAAGATGGTGATTGCATGACTAAACTCTCCCACAATAAGAGCAAAGCATATTTAATTGCCTGTCTGCCATGCAATTATCACCTTTCCTCTTCCACAGAATTCACACATAATGAATATGACCCAAGGGTCATTTGCTGTGCAAATCCACAGCCAAACATATTCACCTAAAAAGCCCCGACAGCCACAGCCCTGTACAAACTGAACCATGGTTACAGCAAACAAGGCTTCCTTAATAAAACAGGGTTTACTAACTTGCTTCAAATTCTGTTAAGACAGGAACCCGGGGCTGCAATAGCTATGGTGGCAACATTACCTTCATTTATGGTTATTAGCAGCTGAGAAAATTTGAATAGAGAGGCATGGTGGGGAGGATTGTGTTATACTTACGAGATGAGGTGTGTTATGGCTATACTAATCAAAACTAATTCTTCCTCAGTAACTAAAACACTAAATTATACTTCTTATAAAACAACAACACACTACTCCCAAAGCATGATCAGATGTAAAATGCCTCCGTATTTCAAACTGCTCAAAACCCTTACCCAAAGTCACCTTCAAAGTATATAGCTTTTTCTTCAATGAGATCAATGATCCCTCTGAAATTTCCCTCCAAACCCATAGGTATCTGAATAAAGGCAGCATTGTGGTTCAACTTGGATCTGTGAAGTTAAAAACAAATACAATTCTCTTAAGACAGCATTTCCAGCTCTAAAGAACTGCTTCTCCACATACAAGTCCATCTGCCCATGAAGATCTGAAGGGGAGGCCCTGATAAGGCTCTAGATCAAAAGGTAAGGAAGGCCAGTTGCCATAACAGAACTTTAGAAAAGACAGACAAATCATCTCAAGATTTAGAATGCACCTTTTTGGACCGACTACCTTCTGGTGGTAGCAGGATTCTGCATGTATATGGGGACACCACAACCCACGCTGGGCCAGAAAATAAAATGTCATACAAGGAACAACATCAAACATCTAAGTCTCTAGTATGAGTAAGGTAGAAGGGCAAAGGCTCAGGGGGTGAGGTCTGGTACCCACTTCGTACATCTAAGCCAGCCTTTCCCAATCTGGTACCCTCCAAATGTTTTGGACCTTAACTCCCATCATTCCTGACCACTGGCAGTCCTGCCTGAGGCTGGGGGGGAATTATAATCCAAAAGATGATGATGATTTATTAAATCTGTATACTGCCCTTCATCTGTATATCTCAGGGCAGTTCACAGCATAAAAGTACAAGATAAAAAACACAAAATACATAATAAAAATAAGAACAAAAGCAAACTGATTACCACCACCACCACATTTAAAAGGGTATCGGACATTAATCAGTCAAAGACCTGGCTGAAGAGGAATGTTTTCGCCTGATGCCTAAAGCTGTATACTAAAGGCGCCAGCAGAAACTCCCTGGGGAGGTCCTTCCACAAAAGATTTGGAGGTCACCAGGGTGGGGAAAGCTGATGTAAGCTATTAAAGAATTTAGTTAGCAAGGATCCGTCAACATTTCATATGTGACACTCAATGTTGACCACGTTACCCACCTAACCTTTAAGAAGGATGGCAGCCCAGAACAATACACTGAAGACACACATCTTTTGACATTGTTTCTAGAAAGATTTTCCATCTTCCTCTCTGATATGGGCAGGGGGCTGGGGGGAGGAATTCTAACTGAGATGTTCATACCTAAGTTGTTGGACGGCTCTGTCTGGACTTGCACCCATTCGATCCAGTTTGTTGATGAAGGACAAAAACGGGACATTATACCGCTTCATCTGCCTATTCACCGTCATTGTCTGGCACTGAACCCCTCCGACAGCACACAGCACCAGGACGGCTCCATCAAGAACTCTCAGTGATCTCTCTACCTCTATAGTGAAATCAACATGTCCTGAAAGGGAAGTAAAAAGATCCAGGAACGTTAAGGCTTCCAACTAGCTGAGAATTGCTGCGGCATTTGGTTCTCTTTCCTGCTGTCTGGGCCTGGTGGGAGTTGCAGTCAAAAACATACAGAGGGCATCAGGTTGGGGAAGGCTATGTTATGCCCTAAGGACTATGCACTATGTCCAACACAACCAGGCTATCAAGATTAGGGATTTTACAAGTCAGTTGTAATAGGACTAGTTCCAAGTTTCATTTCATACATTTGCTTTGAAGAACCTTACACAACAGAATTTCAGGCAGCATTTACTGAACAGGTGAAAGCAAAGCTATTTAAATCCCCTTTACACTGGGCTGTAGGAGATGGTGGCGTTGGGTTAAGAAGACATTTCTCTTCTCTCACCTCTACCAGTTGAATCAGCCTCCCACCAGCCATCAAACATGCTGTCAAAATAACAGGGTGTTTAAGGGCGAGACCTGAGCTGGTCTTACTGCCATCAGGCACTGACAAAGGCCACTATCACTGAGCCAACCTGGAAATGGCACAGAGATCAGGCCCAACTGCCCTGCCCCACTTCCTCTGTGGCCACTGAGTGGCTGCGCTGCACCTGTGATGGTGCTCCAAAAAGCCCAGTGGGAAGGGAGTAGAGCTTAGGCCTTCAGCCTTAGAAAGCAATTTACAAAGCAGATGTCATTTTGGCTATGAGTAAAAATTATACACTCTTAACACTTGGGTATGTTTATCATGCCAGGCATACAAATGCTAGAAACGTATTTAGTACCCTACATGACTATTACCTGGGGTGTCAATTATATTAATGTTGGTGTCTTTCCACATGGTAAAAGTTGCTGCAGACTGAATAGTGATCCCCCGTTGTCGTTCCAACTCCATTGAATCCATGACAGCACCAACCCCATCTTTCCCTTTTACCTAAGGTGAAAGAAAGCATATCAATATTTCTGCAAGTCAGTGCATTTCTGCTTGTACACCTGTGTCCTCTTGTACAAGGGAAGGATCTGCTCCGAGATGCTTTACTGCCCAATTACAGATCAAAATTTAAGGTCAAATCAAACATCACACAAGTAGACTCCCACTTGCACAACAGGGCTTTCCCTTCCCTTCTTCCCCTCTGCAACCCCCTGTGCTCCCTCCAAATCTGCTCTTTGCTTATTCTGCTCTGGAGAGTTCCCCTCCTCTCTGATCACATTCAGAAGTACCTCGTGCATTTGTGCTATCCTTCCTGTGTAGAAAAGAATGCGCTCAGTTAACGTAGTCTTTCCAGAGTCAATGTGTGCAGAAATTCCTATGTTGCGGATCTTTTCATTGGGAATAATTCCTGAAGAGCACCATCTGCAGCTATTAAAAAACAGCTGAAATACAAAAATGGGGTGGAATGTTATTGCAAAAGATTACAACACACAAGACAACAGTAAGTGCAATACAGAAAAACTGTCAGTATTATTGCTAGGATTCATTTAACAAATGGTGTTACTTCTACAAAAGGGATTCCCCACTTTGCCCCCTGAATTGGTTTTGGGGGATTGAGAGAACCCCCAGAACAGGACACAGAAGGAGGGAGGATCATTCTGTTTGGAAGGCGATATTCCACCAAGTTGCGGAGGAAGAGAGGAGAAGGGCTACTCCACCATCTTTGTTGAGGGACCAGCCGCCTTTGTCTCTCCCTCAATGATCTTTCTTAAATACCATACTTTCCAGTGTCACCTGTTTTACTTCCTGCAGTGACAAAATTAATAGCTACAGTATCTGTCTATATTTGTACTCCCTTGTGTCCACCTAACAATACCAATTAAAATAGTAATAACTTTCTAGCTACTCTAGTAGTGTTCTAATTGTTAGAACATGTTCATGTTTAACTTCCAACCCTTATAGTAATTGACACAATATCCTGAGTTTTAAGATTCTTAAAGTTATAGTATTCTGGGCTGAATATGTATGATACTCCCAAGATTTATGATAACTAAAACAAAATGTTTATTTTCTACAAGAACTGGGGTTAGAGTATTCTGAAGTCAAGACTTCCAACATTCATTAACAGAGTGCTATGCAAGTAGCTGACTTACATCCTTCACCCATACAAGAGGCAATAATTTAGTTTAATGTAAACAAGTCAGGGCCGGATTTAGGTTTGATGAGGCCCTAAGCTACTGAAGGTAATGGGGCCCTTTATATGTCCAGCTGCCCTTTGTCAACAACAAATTGCCGCTGTTTTTTGTGTTGAATATATGCTATATGGTAATTTATGGACCTAATAGGTATCTAAAGCCATTTGCCACTGTTTCTGTATGTAGGTTTTATTTGTTTTTTATCTTACATTTTGGAAATGTACATCCAGGTTTTTTCCTTTTAAATTTTTAGGGGCCCCCAAGAGAGTGGGGCCCTAAGCTATAGCTTGTTTAGCTTATATGTAAATCCGGCACTGAAAGAAGTGTTCAACATGGGTTGAGGAGGTTTAATAAGACTGCAATCCTAAGACCACTTACTTGGGCTGGGAGGAAGCCCCATCAAATTCAAAATCTAAGGTCAAATCAAACATTGAATTCAACAGGACTTACTCCTGTAAGCCCTATATTAAGAATGCAAGAAAAGCCCTGCTGGATCAGGCCAAAGGCCCATCTAATCCAACACCCTGTTCTTACAGCGGCCAATCAGATGCCTATGGGAAATCCACAAGCAGAACCTGGAGTGCAGCAGCGCTCTCTTCAGTCGTGACTCCCAGCAACTGGTATCCAGAGGCATACAGCCTCTGGCAGTGAAGGTAGAACATGGTGAAGGCAGAGCACAGCCACCATGACTAGTAGCCATGGCAAACCTTATCCTCCATGAAGTTGTCTAATCCTCTTTGAAAGCCGTCCAGGCTGATGGCCATCACCACATCCTGTGGGAGCAAACTCCATAATTTAACTATCTGCTGTGTGAAGAATGACTTTCATTTGTCTATCCTGGGTTGCATTACAGTGGTGCCTCGCAAGACGAAATTAATTCGTTCCACGAGTTTTGTCGTCTTGCGATTTTTTTCGTCTTGTGAAGCATGGTGTCGGGAAAGTTTTGGAAAAGCTTCAAAAATCACCAAAGTCTTTAAAAACCTCAAAAAAGGCGTTCTATGAGTTGCTCCTCGAAGTCAAGTCACAACTGTATTAACGGTGCTAAGAAAAAGGAAACAACCTTGCAAGACGTTTCCCTCTTGCAAAGCAAGCCCATAGCGAAAATCGTCTTGCGAAGCAGCTCAAAAAACAAAAAACCCTTTCGTCTAGCGAGTTTTTTGTCTTGTGAGGCATTCGTCTTGCGAGGTACCACTGTATCTCAGCAGCAGTTTCCTCTGCTGTAAAGAAGTGGTTGGTTCCCCCCACCCCATCTTTTATAGTTTACTGTCAATTCTAATACATTAGTACCGCAGGTTAAGAACTTAATTCGTTCCAGAGGTCTGTTCTTAACCTGAAGCACCACTTTAGCTAATGGGGCCTCCCGCTGCCACCGCGCCGCAGGAGCACAATTTCTGTTCTCATCCTGAAGCAAAGTTCTTAACCCGAGGTACTATTTCTGGGTTAGCGGAGTCTGTAACCTGAAGCGTATGTAACCCAAGGTACCACTGTACCAATGTTATCTTCCAAATGCAACTTTATCGCAAGTTACCCCAAGGAATCTTTACTGGTGGGTGGCCAATATAAATGTAAGGAACGAACGAACAGGCAGGCGGAATACCAAGGAGGATTTCCCTTAATGCTGCAGGGACACCATATATTAAATGTGCGTGGCTCGCACCCCCGAGAATCCTGGGTTTGCTAAGGACCCTGGAAACTGTAGTTCTGTTAGGATGTGTGTGTGCAAATACAGTTGCCATAAATGAAGCCATGTGTTTTTAAATGTACGGTGAGGCTCCGCCCTCCAGAAGCTTCACCTGCAGGTTTTCTGTCTGCCATTCAACTCTATTTTTAGAAAAGCAAACTTTCGAGTACCGTCCCCATTGGGGATCCTGCCCAGGCAGGCAACGAGGCTTCTCGTTCTCCTATCGCACCGAAACCCTGCATGGGGTTGCTCAGCCCCTTTCGCCGCCCTCAGTACCTGTCGCCGAGGCAACGCGGAGCCCACGATCCTCCGGCACCGCAACATGACGCCCAGCGCACAGGCTCCCAGTCCCCGCCGCTGAATGTCACGCCGTCCACGACTCCCAGCCCCACTTCCTGCCTTAGCCGGCTTGCGCTTCCGGGGTAGGGCCATAGAGTTGCCCAGCGGGACACTGCGCCGCGGCGCCCCCTCTAGGGAGGAGGGAGGAACCGCTCCGAAGGGGAATCTGCTTTGGAAGCAAGGAAGCAACCTTGCTGTTTCTCCCCTTGCCTTGTTTGCATGTACTGTAGGGTCCTCTCCCTACCCGCCCCGCAAATGGATTATTTGCTGCTTCAAGCTACAATTTGTTTGCATTCATGGGTCTCTCCTGGAGGGTGTGAAGTTACTGTTGTGGGTTAGAGGGCTGTTCTTCCTCCCAGATCCATTGCCTCTGAAGCGAAGTGGATCAGGGCCTTAAGGTAGCTGTGCTCGAAGCAAAGGAATTCCAATGTGAAGCTGCTGACATTTGAGATATATGTTCTTAGGAGCCACGCTGTATTTGTTTTAAACCGTTAGTATTGTGTTTTTAAATTGGTGGGACCTTACAAAGAAGCACAGGTCATAAATAAATAAAAACTGCAAGTGTTGATGTAGGTATTTTCAAAAGTAAACTTTACCCAAGTGGGCACACGATGAAGCTGAGAACTAAATCTCAATTTCATCCCTAGTGATGATAATTCTATAGAAATCCGGATTCTAAGTGCACACACAGCTCTAAAAGCCCGGTGATGTGAAATAGTATGATTACAGTGGTGTTGTGTATTTGTATTTGTGTATTGTTACTGATGGGACGCGGGTGGCACTGTGGTCTAAACCACTGAGCCTCTTGGGCCTGCCGATTGGAAGGTCGGCGGTTCAAATCCCTGCGACGGGGTGAGCTCCAGTTGCTTGGTCCCAGCTCTTGCCAACCTAGCAGTTCAAAAGCATGCCAGTGCAAGAAGATAAATAGGTACCGCTCGGTGGAAAGGTAAATGGCGTTTCTGTACGCTGCTCTGGTTTCATTGTTGCGCCAGAAGCGGCTTAGTCATGCTGGCCACATGACCCGGAAAAACTGTCTGCGGACAAATGCCGGCTCCCTCGGCCTGTAAAGCGAGATGAGCGCCGCAACCCCAGTGTCGTCTGTGACGGGACTTAACTGTCAGGGGTCATTTACCTTTACCTTTTTATTGTTACTGATGAGTAATACCCCCCATGGGGGTCGTTTAACTGGCCCATGGACCCCCACCGCCTGTTAAGTCGGCTCCCATGTGCCACGCTAAACCGCCACAGAGCAGAGTGGGGACCACCTTCTGCGATGCTGGCCGGCTTCCCATTGGCTGCAGGAAGCTCCTGCAGCCAATGGGAAGCTGCGCACACCTCCACGCTGGAAGGAGCGCTGGAAATAGCGTTTGCGCACGCGCACACACTCTGGCCCATTGTGGCGTCTGCGAGACCGTGAACTGGCTCAAGCCACAAAAACTTTGCCAACCCCTGCTTTAGTTGTTTTTTTCAAGTTTAAGATTCTTGAATATTTGGGAGGTCAGCGTAACTAAGCAACTCAGGCCGTGAGCCAAATAATGCATCTAGCCAGAGACTCATCAAGCTTCACTACTCTATGTTTGGCACTGCTAAATTGAGAATTAAAAGGCTGTACAGAATGTGGAATGCCACAAGCACATGCAGCACGGCTAGAACTTTGGAGGATCTTTCATGGGGGACAGTGAAGAGAACCTTTTCAAACTAAAGCTTTTGATCCCAGCCAAAAGTTAGCTTTCCGAGCTTTAAAGATTGCTGTAAAAAGATATGTTCATCCCGAGTCAGGAAATGTGTTTTAAAAACTTTGCAATTACACATAAACTTGGCATTACTAGTATTGGTAACATAAAACTGTCCTTTATGTATGAAGTGGCAAATATAAACTAACTGATCAACTAGGTAACTAAACTAACCCTGTGAAAGGCCAGGAACCACAAACACATGGAACTTAGGCTTTTATCATTGCCAACTGGGAGAACTAGAGGGGTGAGGCAAAATTTGAATGGGAGGAGTTCACTCAGTCACCACGCTACTGGCATCTGTTATGCAACTGCTTCTGAAAACTTGACTCAACAACCTCAAAAATTTCCTTTATTCTTATGGTCACAGACCAATGAGCTTGCTGAACTGAATGTTAACTTTGCACCGTTGTTTTATAGCAACAGAGTTAAGGGAGTTACTATAGATTTCACTCAAAAATCCAGGTAACCTGGCCAGGAAAAGTGGCATTACGTAGAATACCTGCTGTCCTATAAATGTGGTTTAATCCATGTTGGAGTTCCCTACGTTAAGAGCAGGGAAGCAAACTGAACAGGTGGCAATTTCAAAATCTTTGCACTTCTTAGCTTGATTACATGCCAGCCATAATCTTAAATGGTAGGTTAATAAATCAAGGGATTTATTTCCACATCCCAGGGCAGAATCGTGTTTCCTGGCAGCATCTACTAGATCCTGTGAACCATCTTCACTAGTTTTAGAGAGCTAGGCTCCTATTTTAGGGAGCTAGTGGTTTATGGACTACAATTGCGGCAAACAGAGAGTTGCATTATAACAACAACTCTCCTACCCCTCCTGCTCAGAAAAAGAAAAAACGTCTGGGGAATATAAGGGTGTTTACAACAGCATAGGTAAATTACAGCTTGGGAAATGTGATGCTAATACTCGCTTTTCTTAAAATACAATCATGCTGTTTCTCAGATATGAAATGCCACTATATGAAATGCCTATTCCTTAGCAGAAGATGTAACTCTCACAACTTGATGACAAGTATAACATTATGTTGAATAAACCTTTATTAATAAAGTGGCAAGTGTTATTCATGAACTCTCCATTAGATTCATAAATTTTGATGCAATACTAGCAGCTCAGATAATGAGTATTAGCCTATCGTTTATTCAACATGAAGAACATACATATAAATGTCATGTGCAACTTTAAAGGGTTGAGTAATTGGGTGATAGTCAGTGGTAATCATACTGAGAGTAGACCTATCGAAATCAAAGGATCTACTCACAGTATGAGTTAGCTGATTATCTTCTACAATAACATGCTGAAATATAATTAATTTGAACTTTCCTTGTTGTATATGTTGTACCTTCTGTTAATTACCCAACACACAACAATTCCAAGTGTCAAAAGTTCAATAAACTATACAAGAGCATTATTTGAACTGGCAAGCCTTAACCAAACTTGTAGAGTAACTCATTACTTCACTTAATTTACAGCTAACTGGCTGAATATGACCATACTTGGAAAAATGCTTTATGAAGTCTGATCTCTAAAACGAATGGGAGCCTCCTGTATATTTTACAGTGAAGACACATCTAGCAAATCAGCTTCTTCACTGTTCTCTGAATCTAACCTTGGATTTAAAATATGCCTAACTTAGTGTTGGGTTTAAGCCTAAGAAAGCAAGTATGTCTTATTACAATTTTTTCTCTACAAATTTTCATTTTGTTTTGAAGGAAAACCCTCCACAAATATCAGAACACCCCCCTCTTCCATTTTTTTCATCAACTACAACAACTTGCAAGAGAAAAAGAGAAGAAACCAACCGATAGAAGAACCAAATAATAATGAACAAGCAAGGGGGTAAAGTATGGTCACAAATGAAAAGAAGAAGATGCAGAGCATTAACTTGTTATGTATAATATTAGATAGAGCCCTCAATCACCATTAGTGGTTTTCCTGCATTTTTGCTCCCATTTTGAAGGCTGAAGATGAAAAGGGCTTCAGTGGTCACATTCTTTGAATTCCTACATGCACTACCAGCATCAAGTGGCCACAATTTATAGATCTTAAAGGGAATTATTAGCATTATAAGATAAGGAACTGTAATAATTAGATAGTGAAAGAAAACCTACTTTATTCAACCACAGGGGAAACAAACCAGTACAATCCGATACATAGAGATCCAAGTGAGTCATGTTGAGAAATTTAGAACCTATTTCTGGAGCTTATGTAATGAAGCAATGACTTAAGTGCAGCAATTCAGATTCTTTGTGTTCTTTGCCCCCAGAAAGTCTTATGGGGTCTATTTAGGCAACCTATATTGATAACATCTGAACAGCGATCAGATGCAACATGGAAACTGGATCAAGTTAGTTCATGGTTTTTCCATTCACAATTCATTTAAAAGTACCCATTACATCTAATAATTAAATCCAGAAACCGTTTTTCCTTCACAAGAATGTCAACAAATTATACTCTAGGTTGTTCTCAAGTATGACTCCTAACTTCAATCTGCCCAAAAGGTTAGAGCTCGTTTTAATATGTAGGACAGTAACTTTCTTGCTATAGGGAAGAGGCTAGTAACGTGCATTTTAATCTTAGAAAAGAGCATGGTAGAGCTGAAATAGAGGATTATCTTTCAAGGAAGCAGAACAGCCAACAATTTAGGAAATGGTTGTTGTGTAAAGAGAGATGCAAAACAGAAAAATTATGATAAAATTCAATTTTATTTATGCAGCTTATCTAACTTTTTTTGCAAGGCTCATCAATATTGACTGTTACTCATCAATATTGACTAGAAGTGTAGTATACATGCTATTTTGTAAAGTATTGCTTAATAGATCTAGATACTTCTTTACAATGCTTTAGACACTGACAGATTGGATCATCACCAAAACTACACCCGTATTTCTTGAGTTAAAAACTGCAGTTTATTAACTATACTTCCTTGAATACCTGTACACGTAGCTGCAATGATACATGGTTTTTTTTGTTTGTTTGTTTTTGGCTCTACACTTGCTGGAGCACTGTTAATGCAAACTATTTGCTCTGACATTCTGCCTCATCCTAAAAAAAAAAAAAGAAAATAACTCCATAAAGTGCTTTCCAGCATCAGTGTTTTCCTTAACTACTCTCAAAGCCAAATGTTACTGAGGAGCTGGAGCTATCACAAACATTCAATAGTCAAGAGAGCAAAATTCACTACTGCTAGAAACAGAGAGCTTGGTCTTAGTCGTTGATCCAGAATTATTGCGTCCTCCGAAGAAATAGCCTGATGACATGAAAAGCAACACAGCAATTTATTTTTTGCTGGTTTTGAGCGGAACATGTGATCCCTTGATATTGAGCTTCTCCACAGAAGGTTTAGGCTTCCTGGGTCCCTCAATGGATACCCTTGGGCGGGGGGTCTTCTCTCTGAAATAGTATTTAGAAAGATAGAATACTTGATGTTTGGGAAACAGGTTAGGAAAAATAAGGGCACTGAACTCTCTTAGCCAGATAACAACCAAGCAACCGCAAAGGCTATACTGTATTATTATCAGTTTCCTCACAAAATTAGAAGGTGAAACCTGGGTTCAAACTCTCCCTCCCCTCTTTCATTTCATTTAAAGAATTACAAGACTACTGCTTAAATCAATATACACCCATAGTTAAATGCAGAGACTTTCCTAATGGGAGAGGGAGTGAAGTAGGCAGATAAGACACAGCCTTCCCCCCCCCCCCGCCCAATTTACATTCATCTTAATCCATGCGGGACCATTAAGTCAATCCCTTGTTTCTTCCACAGGCTCTTTTTTCTGAATGAAGGTGTCAAACTGAAACTGGAAAGTTCAGGATCAAGACTGGGTCTCCCACACCTGCAATCCAGCCGCAACCCAAGTGTGCTTGCATGGGTGGTGCATCACAACACTTGTCAACAGCAGTCAACAAATGTAATTGTACAAAACTGTCAAAGCACAGTAGACATCTACTTCAATGAGAGCATTCTGACATTCTTTTTTCTTACAGAAAACTGGGAAAGCAGCGCAGCAAGACAACAATGATTTATACCTCCTTGTTGCATCTTCCTTGCTTATGTGATGGCTGTTTCTATGTCTTGGTGCATCTATACCATTTCTTATTCCTGAGGGTCTGTACTTCAGAATCTCCTTCTGCCATTGTTCATCAAATGCATGAGCTTCATCTGTGCAACAAATGAAATTTTAAAGTGAGCATCCTTACTTGATGCAACCAGTGCAGGAAGTGTTTAAAAGTAGTATATCCCAATACAAAACACGAATAGGGGGTGAAGTGGAGAGAAAACACCCATACTAAATTTTATGTATATGTATGTGCACCTCTGTAAAACATTGGCAGAACTGTGTTACTACAAACAAAAACCCATGTAAGCCACAAGGTTTCTTACCTTCATCTAAATTAACAAATTCTTGATTCAGTTCCTCATCACCAGTTTTGTTGTTCTTGGCCTTCTGAACAACATGAGCACGATCTTGAATGTGATGACCAATAGACATTTTTTCAAGCCCACTTTCAGAATCTTTAAGTGCTTTTCTGGTTTCTTTAATCTGTACACACACACACAAGATTAAAAAGTCACCACTGAGAAACAATATTTTCAATTAGTATTTTGGATTTCCGTTTTCAAGCAAACTGTGCAAGATTATGAACACAGTGTATGCACATATCTTGTCTCAGTTGTAAACGGGGAGTGAAGTGAAAAGGAAACAGCATGTCAAACATACAACAAATGCTAACATCTGAACACAATATAGAACCAAACACAGTTGGAGCTTTACCTTCATTTGTACTGTGGCAGTTGCCACTTTGAAGAGATAAGCAGCTGTTCCATCTAAAAAACAGCTTGTTTCTTCAGCAGCAAGAACTGATGCAGCAAAAAGAGGGTGGACAAGGCAAATACCCAGTTGTGTACTTAATTCACTATTACTTGTTGAACTATGGCCACAACATGCATGTCTATGATCCACACAAAAAAGGAGCTGGGATCTATTCCTACCACCTCAGGGTCTTGATATTATTCTCTGTTAGAATGGTTTCAAAAACCACCAGAGCCTAATCTAAATATAGCCTGTGAATGGACCTTTCGGCTACAGAGATAAGTGTGTGTTGGTATTTGCTACATGAAAGGGACACCAACTATTAGTATGTCATGCTAACCAACTTGAAAATCTTGGCTTCTGCTTATCGGCATGCTCATAGGTATATTATTAGAAGCTTTTTGATAACCAAGTGCTGGCTAGAGCTCTGAAGTGATCTGCTATAAGTTATTTTCAACAGCCTTCTGCTTATATATAATCATTCATGAACCTGACTTCAGGGTTCAAATTCAAATTCAAATTTCTTAACAAAATTAGATGTAACAGCTGTGAGGAAGCCAATGAAAGGGCTTCTTAAGCATTATATAAGCATTTAAAAGTCAAGTACTTGGTCTGAACAGATGACACCTATTTTATGCCACTGCCAGTTATTTGTAGCATTGTAGGATATATTCATGTGTATTGTTGCTTAGCTTCTTCAATGTTCCTCTTCAACTAATCTCACTGATAAATGCCATAAGAAGCAGTAGGCCAAGTTACACAACACAAACCCATGGTTTGGCACTATGGGATGAACTCTATGCTCACAAACTCACTTCTGCCCACCACTTAGTTGTCTACTTCCAGGAAACCACAGCAAACCACATCTAAATAGGGTTTGTACTTGCTCTGCAAACCAGGGTTGTAAATGGGGTTTAAAATGGTAAAATTACAATTTGTTATGAATATGAAGATATACAAAGCTTATGCTCCCTCTACATTATTACTGCCCCATCCTTCATTCAAAGTCCATTGATTTATCTCAACAGGGAACCCCCAAACCCCAAGAGACTAACTTACCCCTCCTGGAGCCACACGTGTTTGAGCTGAAGCCTGGAAAACCTTTGGAGGTTCATCACCCTTCTTGGAATAAGTCATCACTGAAGAAGAACTGAATGAGTGACCATTTGGATCAAGTGCCATTTTATCCTGAAGTTAAACATAATAAATGATTAAGAACAGCATAAACAGCAAGACAGGAGTCCATAGCAGAAGCCTAGATTTAATGTTGTACACTGCTCCATTTAGATTAGGAAAGGAGAATATCTTATAGGACTGCAACTCTCTCTAGTCTTCAAAATGCCATAATGGCTGTCCTAAGCCTGCCAAGTGTTCAGAATGACTAAGCAGTGAAGCCATTCACTTGGAGAACAGAATTTAGAACCACGCTTATTGTACATAACAGCAGATTTGTAAGCAGTCGCTTGCTTGGGCACATGAAGCATGTAAAAATACATTCCAGGACACCATATGAGTTTAATGAAGAATGCTTGTGTAGTTTTTAGTTTAAACATTAAGGAAAATACAAACTTACAAAATTTCTGTGCAATTCCATCATACTGTTTCTCATGTTTGACATCATTCTGTCCATTGCAGAGAAATGATCCCTGAAATCCATGTTCTGCCAGAAGAGAATTGAAAAGATAATTAGAGAGACACATAAATTCACCATGAGGTTCTTGACACTGTGTGTGTGTGTGTGTGTGTGTGTGTGTGTGTGTATATGTATATATATATATATGCACACACATACATTTTTACTTCTTTGAAGGGTACACCAGAAGAAGGGAAGAGACCACCTTTAATAATCCCCATTAAAAAAAACCACAAGCGAACATTAAAAGCAAGCAAGAGTACCAGGGTAAAAAGTACGAGTACAAGGTACAACAACAAAGATTCCATGTGTGTGAGGTGGTGAGCACATGGTGCTTTTTAAACCAAGCATTTTGATTTGATTTGTATCTGTCTTTTCCCTCTGCAGATCTAATAGCAGCTGGGAAGGAGGGAGTAATTCAGAGTGCAGAAAAGGCATTAGTTAGAAAGGCTTAGGCACCTTCTTCCAAAGCGACACTTCCCCAATTTCCAAAGCAGCCCTGTGGGGTTTCTAATTAGCAAAACCAAAACCATGGCAGATCCCATGTCACCTCTAGTCTGGCCCTTAGTCTACTAGAGAGGAAAGTGTGAGAGGCTTTTTGAAATACAGTTCTCTAGAGGGATCAGAAAGGCTTTTCTCATTAACCTCAAATGAACTTGGTCAAAGGATGGACTGATTTCATGTAAGAATTTTTAGGATAGATTTCCCAGCCATTGTAAATTTCTGAAATCCTACTGCACAGTAACTGCCTGAAGTAACTATCACAAAGGTAACTAAAGTAATGTTGGAAAAAAAGCGAACTCAAAAAATGAAAGCCCTCCACAAGTGAATTTGAGAATGTTGCAAGGTATTAAAAGGCAACACCTTGTTACTGCCTTTTTTCTTTTTTTTTTCTTTTATACAGTAACATTATGTAGTTATTCACTGGGGGAAAGGGAACAAAAATTAATTATTTTTTTATCATTAAATGCTAAAAAAAGCTGCACTCTTTTGTATGGACTATTTGAATTGGCTAGGCCTAGATCAGGAATTTATGAGTTGATGAAAGAATCTATGACTCAGATTCCAGTCTATGATTTATTATATGTAATTTAGGAATAAAATTTCACTTGCTGCAAAGGAGAATATGGTCCGTTGAGAGTGCACAACAAGTAGGCTTATATGAAAGACTGTTGACTTGGCTCCAGTGTCTGTTATGACTTCTCAGTTACCAAGGCTTCCATTTACATAGATACCATTTGTCACATGCATTCCAGCCGATGGATTACTAGCACAAGACACATGAAACATTAGCAGAAGCATGCAAAAGCCTTTATAGGAAGTAAACTGGGCTCACTGAGAGGATTAATGTAAGATATAATGGTGACTTTATGTAGTGGAAAATGCAGGAGAAAAAGCGAGGAGGTGTAGGTTTGGCTTTACGCAGCCAACCCTTCCTGTGAGTCCTTGCAGGAGCACTCCTGCCCTTGAGAGTGGCCCAGTTGGGGCTTGATTGCCCAGATTAGGAGCCCTTATATGCACAGGTGACGGCTGTGGAGACATCCAGCCCCACCTGGTTGAGGCAGGTACAAATAGTGCAGGGCAAAGTGGTTGAGGAGGAAGAGGATGATGGACCAAACACTGCTGAGCCTTCCCACAGTTGGATCTGGTGGAGGGGGGAGAATTGTTTCTTTGGAACTGTTCCTTTGGGGTTATTTCTCGTATTTCAACCCAACAGCTGTTTGATGAGGTTTTCCTATTCTGTTCAAATAAAAATATATTTTTCTTCATAGACCAACTACAAAAGATCTTTTAAAGAACCTGCAGTGTTAATTGGCAAAACACTGTGTGCCAAAAAGCTTCACATTCATTGGCAATTAAACCCAAATTCTGGGCAGAACTGTGCACATCTTATATTTGCTTGGTATAGTCTATGCTAGGCTGCAAACATATCTGTAATTTTTGAGAAAAGGGCCAGGGAAGCAGAAAGAAAGTGAAGCAAATAAAGAAATGGCCAGGGAAATTGAACCTCAAAAACAGTAAATGGTATACCTTCCAGAGAAAACAAGAAGCTGTGGTATCAACTTCCAAGCCATAATTTCTGGAAGCTTCATTAAAGCATCTCTGATTATTTAAACTTAAACAGACAATGGTACCCATACATTTATAAACTGTCTCCTGGAATTATGTAGACCAAAAAATACAGAAGGGGTTTTTCTTATAAGCGCAATGCTCCCTGCATTCCATGACCAGTGAATCCACAACCCTGTGGAATACACTCGGATGCAAAACATAATGTGGAGAGACAATTCAGACTGATAAGAAAATTATTATGAAAGGTATATATTCGTATCTCTTACTTCTTTCTTCCTTTCTGCTTTTATTCTTCTTCTTTTTTCCTCCCTCTACATAAGTTTCTATATTTTCTTTTTTCCGTTTAAGTTTGTGCATTTTGATTTATGTATATGTGGAATACAATCAATTTTTAAAAAATTATTAGCTTCAAAATTATAATAGTCCTAGGCAAAGCATAGAAAGAAAAGCAACAGAATGCCAACAATTAAGAGTCAAAGTTGTTAGATAAGCTTGTGAAGACAACCAAACTTCAAAGCCTATCCCAACCACATTTAGCTAGACTGTCTCCCTAGCTTCAAGTAAAAGGCATTGTGAGATATCCATTCTACACTTAATGGATTGTGAGGGAGGAAAGAAATCATTTTACTGCTATTTATCTTCTTGCAAGCAGAGAACCCAATGAGTTCAAATCTGTACTTTAACACTGAAGAGGGGACCAGACCATTAAAATAATTAACATTTTAAAAAACAACTGTTTGCCAACTGCCAGGACAATGTTACAAGGATGGGGGGTGGATGGTAGATGTTCACTGCTTCTTTAAAAGCTATGTGAGTGCTCCTATGCTGGAATAAGCCTGCAAAATAGCAGGCTAAATACCACAGAGCAGTGCAAGGCACATGGATGCGGAGAGTCTCGCTCATCGCTAAAGGTAGGGGTAGGCAACAATTCTAGATGTTGTTGGACAATTCTCATCAGTCCCAGACAGCATGGCCAGTGGTCAGTGATGATGGAGGTTTAGTCCAACAACATACGGAGGGACAAAGGTTCCCTGCCTTGAGTAACGGTATCACAGACATTATCACACTCCATAGCAACAGCAGTGGACATGCCATCAGGAAGAAGGGCAAGACGTACTTTGAGCAAAAGAAGAAATCAGTAAACAAACAAACAAGTTTTTCCAACTTGAATGCTGGGGAAATGTGGTGCCTCTATAGTAGAAGTACTACTTTTCAACACTCATTTGAAAAAGGTCTCAGAAGAAACCCAAAGGTGGAAAAAGAGTCCTTAAAGAAGTTTCTGGGTATCTACCACATTTCACAGAAATGTTATTCAAGGTCAAAGGAGAGAAGCCCATGTCATTAGCATAGTAGACCCAAAGCTGAACCAGCCACTTGCTTGATATAGTGCTATTCTCTAGTAACGTAACTTTTTGGAATGTGCACTGATCTATGCATATTAAAAGGAAATAGCATGAGTCCAATAAATAACATTCTAGACCTCTCTCAATGCAAACACCACTACTGTACTCCAATTCATTGTAACGAAAACAGTTCAGAGACTTTATGGAAATCTTGTGTGTTTTTACCCTTGTGGCAATTTATTTCATGCATGCAGAAAAGAGAGATGGTCTTGCATATTAGCATAATTTCAGTCCGCACAGGAAGTTTAACAGTTCACAAATGGGGGGAGGATTCTAAAATGCATTTCACAAAGCTTACTGCATTGTGGGAGGGGGCAGAAACAGAACCAGACAGACATGCCCACATCAGCAAAAAATTAGAAACTCGTGTTTGTTTAGTATACTAACCATGCCACCAAAACAGCCAAAAGGCATAAGGGGGGAACTCATTGCCTGAAAGAGAAATACCAGCTCATATAAATTACTGCATTAGTGCTACTGTCTAAAGCAGCCTTCGCCAACCTGGCAACCTCTTGATGGGAGACTACAACTCCCATCAGCATGGCAAAGTCTGGTCTAAAGAATGAAAGCATGCAGGGTACATTCAGATTGTGGTTTTTCATGAAATCATCTGCTGCTATTTGCATAAGTGGCACAGCTCACACTTTTTGCCACTTAGTTTACCTTCTACTTTTTGAGTGACATTTTCACCTTACTGAAGAGGCTGTAAGTGCTATTGATCCAGGCAAATGTCTTGTACCATCATCCTGCTTTGTCTCCTTTTTTACTGAACTTTTGTCACCCCAACACTTGAGTTTTTAAACTGTTAAATTCCAGCACTGCACTTGATCACCTAGGAATTTCATAAATTTCCAGCTGCAGATTTAATATGCTATAAACTAACTTAGTTATGTCATAATCCCAGAGCTCAGCTACTTCATTAACCTGTCTTATTACCACTGGCCCATTTGAGACAATTTGGGACAATTTGGGGAGCAGACCAGTGCAAATGGAATCGTGCAAATTCAGCATTGTTCACACAACAACTTTTAAAAAACTGAACCTACACTTCCAACAGAGTGGAAGAGGAAACTTGTATGCAGGAGATGTATTTTTAAATTATTTATATTTTATTGAAAACATTTCAATTAAACAAAATAAAGTGAAAAAGACAAAAAAAGGAAACTAAAGGTGCATAAAAAATACAATAAAAAGAAAATAAAGAATGGAAAGAAAAACACTAATTCCATACATATTTGTCAAATACAAATGTATTTAAATGAAATTATTAATTTAATCCATATACATTTATTTTTAACATACTATATTTTTTATAAATGCAGAAGTATTTTACGGTTTCTTCTGGAACAGAGAAGGACCAAAAACTAAAGTGAATACTATTCTGGATGGGCCCTTAGGACAACAACATGCTTATATCACCAAGCATTAGAGATCTGTATTTTAGTATACTGACCATGCCACCAAAACTGCCAAAAGGCATAAGCGGAAAACTCGCTGCCTGAAAAAGAAGCATCAGTTCATGTAAATCTGTATATTAGTAACATGGTTTAAAGATTAAAATACAGAAGGAAGGCATGCCCAGATCACCAGAAGACAGAGTTTAGCATTTAGTATACTAACCATGCCACCAAAACCGCCAAAAGGCATAAGGGAACAGCTCGTCTGAAAGAAAAATATCACCTTATGTGAATTGCTGCACGGTGTGTCAGATGGTTCAAATTAATAGGGGGGGGGGACTTAAAACTCCCTAGCTCAAATTTAAATAAGGCACAGCATAACCAAAACAATGAAGGACCAAAATAGATGTGACGGTGGCAGCCATACTGTTTACATGTAAGCAGGGGGTGGGTTTAATTTTTACTACTGGAGGGATAAGAGACAAACCCTCCACCACATAATCTTTTTATGATCCATTATCCAAACTCCTCCCATAACAACCTGGATCCATTATCTGAAGTGAACTAGGCTGAGTGAACAGTGCCATGGGCAACAAGCTACAGACAAGTAAGACAAGGGAAGCAGGATTATTCCATTCCTCTCACACCTATGCATCCCTTTTGATGCTACAATTAGATGCCCCCCACCCCTGCTTTGTACATGACCAGGGAAATGTGGAAAAAAATGGCTGCTTCTGTCACATCTAATGTGGTCCCTGAGATAGTAAAAACTATGTTTAAATTGAAAGTGCCTAAGTTTGAATACATGTGCTTTTGTGTACCAAAGTATTGCCATGTACCTTTAAGTTCTGTACAGTACTTTACAGTTTTCCTGCTTTTCCAGATATTCAATTCTATTTATTTGCAGTCACGATTAGCCAGTTCAGATGGAGAGAAGTTGATTAAAACCAACAAATCTGTTCCTACTCAACAGATAAATTTTGGTAACTAAATTTCAAAGAGCTAGAATAAACTGCAGGTCACAAAAATTAAAATAAGTGATGCAGCTACTCTGCTACAAGCATTCATTTTATGTAAAAGCAAGAGATTAATGTAGAGTTAGCAATGAAATACATACATATTCTCTAAAATATTCATAGAACCCTGGCGTTAAACCAAATCATCTCTCCCATGTCAGCAGTTTCAAAGGTCATTGCAAAGAAGTTCTGAGTAAATCTATCACCATATACAGAATGGTCTGACTTATAAATCCACAGTGAAGAAATTATATGCTAGTACACACATATAAATAGATGATGCTATAAACACCATCTAATATGAGAATTCAGCCAACTGGTCTTGAATATCTCTGCATGAAAAAATGATTGGAGAGTCTGGATATAAATCTGAATTCCCCAAAGCATGCATGAAAGGTATACTTACATCAAGCTATCACATCAAAATGTATTTTACTACAATAGTCATTTTGTACTTATTCATTTAACACTATGTTTTACAACGCAAAGGCTCATGGACATGCAAAACCAACTCTGCCCATCTATCACCTACCATCTCTATCTCCTTCATTCCTAAAACTCATTTATTTCTATCCTCATGTAATCCCTACTCCTTTGTTTCCCCAGAGTCAGACAACAGTAACTTAACTTTATTTTAGAGGGCAGGAGGAATTCAGACACACACTTGGAAAATCTTCCCAGCACTCAACCAAAGAGGAGTATTTATTCTGGTAAGTGATGCTGCCACAGCAGCCTGTTTTGCAATATAGTTAAAAGTAAGTAAGCTTATGCACATTCAATTTGTGTGCATTCAGCTTTACGTGCTTCGCCAAAAAATAAAATAAAATAAATAAAAGGGGAGCAGAAAGGCAACAGGCATCTGGGGGGGGGGGAACTTTGGCAATCCCACCCACCATTGCACCTCATGTATTTTGACTATATGCAGTTTTGGCTTTAGGTGCAATCCCCAGAAGGTAACCCCCACATAAGTTGCAGTCTTAGTGTGTATTGTTTGGCCTTCCACAAATACGGACTAGAAGCTTTTTAGCAGCAGCTGGAATAGTGAAGGTTGCTCGAATTGGTGTTAAGATTAATCTTTTAACGAAGGAATATTTTTAACATTACGTATGACCAATCCCAATTAGACTACTGACGGCTGCAAAAGACGTGGGCTGATTTGTGTTAAATGGGCCTGATTTTATTAGGAGAAAGGAAAGGAAATAATAATGCTAAATAACAGACAAAAGCAGTATGTGGAAGTAACATAAGCTCACATCATTTCAGAGGGAGAATCAGTTTAAACATTACTCTTAGAGAACTTGATTCTTTCCAGGTTTCTACACATTATGTCCTTGTAAAATGAATGCAATAACACACAGTCTGTGTAAATCCAAGAACTAATAATATGATCAGGTGCAGAGACAGTCATCAGCACAGCAACCTTACTTCCTAAATGCAAAGCCCCTCCAGCTGGGTAATTCTATCCCCCAGTCAAACTCCCACTGCTTTGGTGTATCCTTCTGTAACTGGATATATTGAGACCTAGGACTGTTTTCAACTCCTAAAAAAGCATTGCGCTCTGGTTATAAACTGCAGCCCCTTTGTATGCTTATGCTTGAAGGGCTTATTAGGGTCCCCCAACACACATTATAATCCTAAATAGCATTCTTACAAAGTTTGGGGGGTTTTTTAGACCATAATAAGTCACATACAATATACAGTGTTAAGATACATAGAGTCATTGAACTTTAAAATAAGCTACCATGTGCAACCGAGAGTGTTGTATGTTGACACTGTTTCAGCGGCTGTCAACTAACATGATTTTTTAAATTTATTTGTTCAAAACACAATGCTAGGCTACAACTCTCATCATCTTTGACCATCAACCTTGCTGGCTGGGACCAATGGAAGTTCAAAGTTCAAAACATCCAGCAGGCTACGGATTCCCCAGCTCTGCTACAGAGAAGTTTTAAGACACGACTAAATGACTAAACAACAACAAAGCGTATAGACTGGTCCGCATCAAATACTTAAAAAAAATTTTTTTTGCTATTGCCAGAAAAACAAGCTTGTAAAAAACTTGAATGACTGAATGAACTCTGTTTAGAAACAGTGCTTAGGCAGTCTCTATGTGTTCCAACAATTGTTGTACCAACTTGGCCCATCAATTTAAATGCAATTGTTTCAGATAGGTGAATTGAATTGGCATACTAACAGATACCAAGTATGTTTATAAGGAACATATTCTGGGCCCTTTTCTGTTCAACCAGGTCAGAATAACTCCCCGATTTCTGATCCATGTAAGATATGAATCTCCACAGCCAAAAAGATTTCTACTGTCCAGTGTAGAGTTGTGCAATGGTTTAAGGTAGCTCCCCAAGTTCTAACGTACTCTTAGATGTGCAATATGTATGACAGGCACTCAGAGCAAGAGTGTTTGGAATTTGTAATAGCAAATAAAATGTGAGGGCTTTAATGGGGGTGTTTGCATTGCTCTATCTGGCCTTTTTAAAAGACAAATGATTAGTTAACTATGTATTCTTTTCTGAATTGTAGATATAAGCCTGTAATTCAAGGCAGGGGTGGGGAACCTCTTTCAGCTCAAGGGCCACATTCCATTCTGGATTCTGGGCAACCTTTTGAGGGTCACATAACAGTCAGTACAGCAGCTAATGTCATTTTTTTACTTTTGTACAATACACTAGTTTATGCATACATTCCCACACACCCCTGTATCCTCCTGGAGACAAGCAAGAGCCATTATCAGAGTTCAGGGAAACATTCAACTAAATGTAAGTTCCCAGGCTTGCAATTGCAACAAAAGATGGAGAAGCCCAAGTGCATCTTTGCATATCTGATTAAATGTTTAAACGTTTGTTGAAAAGTCTGATGCTGCTCACAAAAGCAGAACTGAATCTGAAGTAAACCCAACTGTTACGTTACAAATAGAAATGCTTCTAAACTAGAAGCACACAATCCGGTGGCTACCCCGCAGGTGACAGTTTCTGCTGCTGCTAGCTTTATTAAAGCATCAGTTCCCATTGTATAGTTTACTGATCTTGGCACAATTCCACACCCCCTGTGGTTATGTTACCCATGAATGCAAATTCCACAGGCTTAGTTTTGACACTAAGTAGCCAACAGAAGATATTGTAAAAGTCAACACACCTAAATAAATACAGTCTTCCAAACCCCAGGAACCAAAATAAAAATGTAACCATCACATTTTTTGAAGCAGAAATATTACTTTATCATTACATAAGTGGATACCTTGTACAATAGTGAATATATAAGTAAAGCAAAACGTATTACAGTTACATATTTGAAGTTGCTATGTCTATTAAGTTTCCTGTCAATTTATTTAAGTTCTTTATCAGCTGATGCCAAGACTTGCAATGTCAGCAAGACTGCAACTCTAACCATGTCCATTCAGAAGTTATGTCCTTTTGAATTCAATGGGGTTCACCATTAGGATTGCAGCCTTAGATGGAATATACTATCACGTCACTAAGCATGATGTTATAGTACTGTTACAGGTTTGCATAATCAAATAAACTTAAGGATCAATGTGCCAACTAATACATCTTTCTACAGGAGACGGGATCAGTTAGAATGCAAGTTTCAACACATTAAACCTTGTTTAATTTCTTTGCTCCGTTAGTTAATATTCTAGTTTTTGGTGGTTATTTACAAGGAGAGTTAAACATCATTATCTCTAATTTACATGAGAGATGCACCAAGAGTAAACTGACTGGCTCAAGTACCAAACCATCAGCTGGGGGGAGTGGGGAAGCAAGCTGAGATCCACCATACTTTGTCACTGATTGCACGTAACCTGCAAGACTATAAAATGACATACCTTGTGATTGTCTCTCAAAGCAACCTGAGAATCAGGACGTCCTCTTTGATGTAGAGCTCCTTCCCCACCATCTTTAATTGAGAGAAATGGATCTCGTCCAAAAGGTTCAGAAAAGAAACGACGCATATGATCATTGTGTGCGGCAAATGGATCCCTAAAGATAATATTAAGGGCGGAGGTGTGAGAGAGAAACAGCTCATATATAGCCATGCATTTAGAAAAAACAGACAAGATTCCAAGGTGTAAAACTGCTATCTTGATGGAGAGAGTGCAGTGTTTACCCTACTTAGGACAGCCACAGCATACTGCTGTCTTAAATTAAAATCAATACACAATTTGCTGTTACACAAAGAATATTAGGAAGTGGCATACTCGAAATAGTGACTCATACAGAGTGGCAACATGACATCCTCTAAGGTCAGATAATTTTGTAACAGGTAGAATGGGTTCATTCAATATTATCACTCCTAATACAAACTCATAGCAAAATTTATTATTCTTAAAGGAAGCCAATTGAAAGGCTTTTAGAGCTTTACAGGAATCTAAACCACTTCTCTGAGCATGCAAGTAGTTCTTCCAACTGACACTGGTGTGTTCTGGCATGCAGTTTAGAAATGACTGAGATAGTGTATATATTATTCTGTCCTTGGCACCTGAATATGCATCATTTCAACATGGAAACAGCAGCCAGTCTGCTGTGACTGTTCTCCTATAGATTCTTATCCATTGAAAAGAGCTTAGTCTGCATAATTTATTTTTTTAACAGAAATGCTTTATTAGAACAGATGGTTCAGTACAAGAGACCAGCCACAGCAGATGACTGTACTATCAAGAGTGAGATAACACAGAGAACTTCTTGGCTAACTAAATGCACAGGACTGTCTTTTGCAGGAGGGAAACTGTTTCTGCACCTGTCTGCACTATTCAGGAAAAAACTTGGCAGGACCAGAAAACATTTTGACTGAGATCAACTAGAGCTTCCCTGGAACAGCTGCTTGGTCAGGGAGACATTTATAAAACCAATTTTATCCTAGACAGTATTTCTAGCTTGCCAGATCAAGATCTATCCTTGTGAGGCTGAGGAAGCTTTCCTATTAGTACACAGTTTTAGAAATTAGTTCCAATGTGAAGTAGCCCTATCCACTTGCATGATGATCTAGTCTGCAATGTCTAGAATAGCACTTGCTATTATAATTTGGATTAGACTCTGAACAGCTTCCAAACCAGACAATGGTCAGCCATTATGGCTACTAAAATAACAGAACTGCACAGTCCCTACATGGTGTGTGGGTACACACACACACACACACACACACACACACACACATTTTGTAATTGTTTTATTTTGTAATAGTTGGGAGCCCTGAATTTTGGGAAAGGGTTCATAAAATTGTGAGATTTGAACTAGGAGCTTCGTAGTTCACACTTCCTTTCCCTATACTGATAGGATTCTATTTATCAGACTACCATTACATGTTGACAGCTTCTATATAGGACTTTGTGCACTGCTGGCCTCAGCATCCATCCATGGTTCTATTGCTTCCCACATTACATAGCATGGGTTCTATTAACGGGTACTCCCTCATGTCACTCCAAATGCAAAAGAGTAGGCAGACAATAAAGAAACCAAAACAAACATCCTGTAGAGACTATTCCCAAAACGCTTTAGTGGGTGCTTGCTATGCACTTTTCAAACTTAATTTCTGCTTAATTGCAAAGGAAATTAGATGACTAGTAAAAGAAACTAGGTGCAGGATTAATGTGAGGCTCAGAGTCAGTAATGAACCCTTTGGTCCCAATCCAGCAACACTACTGTGGACCTTCTAGAAGTGTAGTATCCACAGGCCAATACTTTTGCTTCATTTGCACCTCCCATCTATTTCTTCCTAAGCAGCAGCAAGATACGTTTAGACTTCTACATGAAGACTAAAAGGACAAGATTGTGGTTAAGAAGAGGGAGGATTGAGTGCAAAGGAAAGAAGCTGCCTGTGCATGCAAGCCTTTGGATCAGTGCCATTGGATTTCAATACAGTAGGAGTTGGCTGCAGAGCTGACATAAAAGCTGAGAACCTTGTCAAGGACTTTAAAAGAGCAATCTAAAAAGTTGCTGACACTATGTAAAATCATCCACAAGTTCCATTCAGATTTCAAAGGATGTGTGACCTTGTACAATTTTAGCTTAAGGGGATACACCAGAGACAGGATTGGGTGTGTACTAACTAAGGGAGTTCCCAAAACCAAAACACCTGCATATACAGTGTTAAGAAAGCATTAGGCCTCCTGAATCCAGCTTAAACTGAGCTATATAATCAAGACAGATTACAACTTTTAAGTATGGACCTAGGCATGAAGATGGCCCACTGAGTTATATAACTTCTGTTTGGGCATTCATCAAGCAAAAGCTAATACTGTATCAGAATTGGGTTTTAAACCCATTCTGGGTTTAACCAGGCCATAAAAGTTAAAAGGTCAACCACAAGCTTGCTATATAGGTCCTCCCCCACCATGTCAAATGCTGAAGTTATTTAGGGTTCCTTACAAACATGTAATTAAAGGAAAGTTGCAGAACTTCAGATCCTATACATGTTGAGTGTAAGCTACACAGAGCTCAATTAAATATACAGAGGATCACAGCCTTATATTTTTTTTATAATACCCATCTACTCAGCCTTATTTCCAGGTAAGCCTACATAGGATTGTAGCATTAAAGGATGACTATGCAGTGTTTACTCAGAAGTAAGTCCCACTGTGATCAATGGGTTTTATTCCTAGTAAGTGTGTTTAGGATTAACCAGATACAATGCCTGACATATGTAAAATTTATATGAACAAGAAGAATGATTCCCAGGTGCATTTGACCTAGATTACCGCAGGAGAAAAGTAGTATTTTAAGCTATTTAAAAGAACATAAATCCTTTTCTCTCCCCCCACCCCATGTTCTATTGTGACAGAACAAAATGAAAAACATTATATATCATTTCCCACAAATTGAAGAAAATGTTTAAAATAACGTTTGTGAAAAAACAGAGGCTTTTTTGTTAGGCATTTTAGGTACAGGGATTCCGAAAGAGCAGAAAAGACTATTTATGTATGCGACAACAGAAGCAAGAATATTACTGGCCCAGAGATGGAAAGAAGATAAAGTTCCAACCAAAGAAGAATGGCTAATGAAGATGATGGACTATGCCGAAATGGCAAAATTGACCAGGAGAATCAGAGACCGGGATGAGAAGAAGTTTAACAAAAAATGGGAAAAATATAGAATTTATTTAAGAGAACATTGTAAACAACTAAAAACTTTGGCAGGATTAGAGTAATACTTGTAATGTACAAAACACAATGGAAAAAGGTAATACTGTTGTTAACAAATTAGTTAAAACATGGATAAGCTGAAAGAAAAAGGGATTGACATTGAAAACCAGAGAAGGGCGGTGCGAAGTCTAGGGATTCTGAGAATCCTAAAAGTGAAGGGCAAACAATATGTTTAAATTGTAATATGTTATGTACAACTCAATTTAAAAAATTATATAAAAAAAGAAATAAGTTTTATGCCTTCTAATTTTCAGTACTTACTCAACATAAAAAACTGAGTTGCAAAAGGGTCATTAACTGCTCTCTAAAAATGTCTTTAATTGTGTTTTTCCTGCTGTGCACTTTCATGCTATTTCATGCTACTGGAGACCACGTTTTTTATACTGCAGAAGTAACAATGATAAAGGGAACACATGAAAAGATGCTAGGCTTCTGAAAGTAAACACAGAAACAACAACCACTTGTTATCTGAAAAATAAAAATAAAAAACACGCAGTGTTTTAAAAAGGCTTTAGAAAGGCATCCCTTTCAGCATATCAGCACGAAACTTAAAAACTTCTTGGGAGCAAGAGAAAATACGGTTGTTTATATAGGTGCCACTTTCAGCCCCTTGGAAACATGGGACTAAACCCCTTTTACTTCCAGGTCCTGAGAACAGCACTGCTCACACCAAATCTTAGCAAGGCACCAAAAGAACACTCCAACCATTCTTTTCCTGAGGAGGCCAGTGGCTCAGTTCCAGAACTCTGGAAAGGCTTCAGACACACACCAAAAGGGGGGGACCAGGGGCACCTTTAAAACCAACAGCTTTATTGTAAAGCAAGCTTTCATGAACTACAGCCCTCTTCTTCCATTGCACGCCTCATCCAGGCATAACACAGTTCCGTGGGAGCAGAGGGACTAATCTGGACTGGATCCAAACTTAACTTAGTCGAGTTTAGGGTCCCCCAAGGAAATCAACGAGGCCCCAACGCAGTTATTATCGCTTCGATTTCAACGGGTGCAAGTTCAGCTAACTTAAGAACATAACTGTCAACTTTTCCCTTTTTTTGCGAGGAATCCTATTCGGAATAAGGGAATTTCCCTTAAAAAAAGGGAAAAGTTGACAGCTACGCTTAAGGGCCTGCACCCAGATCCAGCGAGGACATGAAAATGCAACTTTTTTTATTGCACCTTCGCAACGGGGGCGGGGAGGCAAATTCTGCTGAAGTGAATAAGCAAGGTTGGGGTGGGGGCTGGGGATAGTAAAAGAGAATTCAGCGACCTTAAAAAGAGGGGGGGTGAATTATTGTTGTGTTTGAGGGCCCCCACCCCACCGTCAGGCTCCGCTCTTTTTGACACGTCTGGAGAGAAGGAACGTCTGAAAACGGTCGGCGGGGGTGTGACAAGAGGAAAAGGCAACGGAGAGATGCGCATTCGCAGCGGGGATGTCTATGGGGCAAATGGGGGAAACGCCAACGTCGCCTTCGCCGCCTCCCTCAGGGCGACGTCGTGAGGGACGGAGCCCCCCCCCACGCAGCCCCCCCTCATAACCCAGGCCGACCCCCCTCCCCCTCACCGAAAGAAAGGATCCTCCTCGAAGATTCTGGACCAACCCCCGAACATGGCTCCGGCTCCTGAGGCGCCTCTCGCGCTTCTCCTTCAGCCCGCCGCGTCCCGCTCGAGGTGTTGCCGCCGCTCGCGGGCCTCCCCTGACGACGGGCTCTAAGGAGGCGAACCGCCCGCTCGGCCGCCACGCCCCTTTTCCCTTCGCCACGCCCCCCCGGGAAACCTGCGCTTCTCTTTCCCATTGGCCCTGGCGAGCATCCAAGATGGCGGCGGGCGACAATAGGGCAGGAATGCTGCCATGGCAACGGGCTCCGAGGCAGGGCCTCCCCGTTGGGGTCCGGCTGCCTTAAGTGGTCTTCAGTTCGCTGTTCCGCCGCCGCCCCTCTCCCTCCGCCCCAAAGTTCCGGCTTCCGGGGAGAAGCTACCCATCATATGGGTATCGCGGTGCTAAGGAGGCAGCTCCGAGTTAACATGAAGGCTGCCCACCCTTCCTTCCTTCCTTCCTTTTTATCCATCCTTGAGAGGTTTTTTTGCTTTTTAAATAAAATTTAAACAGGAGTCTGATATAACAACGAATACATAAAAAGCGTACACATCTTACAAACGAGAGAAACCAGCAGCAGTTTTAAAAAGCAGGAATAATATATCTGAGCTAATTGTTTTATTAATATGTAATTTAAATTGCATGTTGCTTTGATGCATTTTCCAACTCTCTTATCATTTTTGAGAGGCGGCAACCAAATCTATATACAGCATTATCAGAATAATTTGTTTTATTATCACCCCGCTCCTTTCCAAATGCAGCTGCATCATGGATTAGTGAATGCATTTAGTTTGACGGGCTTCCTCAACATCGGCCCTCCAGTTGTTTTTGGCCTACAATTCCCATGATCCCTAGCTAGCCGGACCAGAGGTCAGGGATGATGGGAATTGTAGTCTCAAAACATCTGGAAGCCGAGGTTGAGGGAGCCTGGTTTAGAAGCAGTAAATGAAGGTGCTGGAAGTAGAAGGTGGCTTCTGTTTTAGTAGAGTATGATAATGATGAATAAGGAGAGAGAGAGGGGGGAAAACCCCGCAACCACCTTCCCTTTATTGGTGAAATTTTGTAAGCCTTGCACACCCACCCAATCTTTTGAGGAGTGTGAGATTCCAGGGGTTTGGGAGCTTACCCAGGGTTTGCGTTTCTCATTTGGAAATGAGAAAAAACAGCAGAGACAGTGGTGTCTTTATTTACACATATGTACAAGCTCCGATCGAGGGGCTCTAAGCATTACACTCCAAGATGGTCCAGTTCCTCAAATTCCTGCAACCTCTGATTCAAACTGTAAGCCCACCTTGTACTCTGACCCAGTGCCGGATTTACATATACGCTAAAGAAGCTATAGCTTAGGGCCCCACTCTCTTGGTGGCCCCCCCAAAAATTTAAAGAATAAAACAACTGGATGTACATTTCCAAAATATAAGATAAAAAAAACAAATAAAATAAAACCTACATACAGCAACAATGTTTTGTGTTGTGTCGGATCCTATGATGTAAGTAATGGGCCCCACCTGGTAGCCTGCTCCCTAAAATATCACTGATTTGCTCATTTCTATGCATAGGGTGCCTACATTCTGCATGGACTGGTTGCATGACAACATGGGCAAATGGCTTTAGATACCTATTAGGTCCATAAATTACCATATAGCATATAGCTAAATTCAGTGTCCGACAACCCATCTTAACACTCCAAGCATTGAACTCCAACACTTAACTAAATCCAGGAATTATTGGTGTCTTGCACCCCCAAACTCTGGCACCCCCAAACTCATAAGTAAGACATGGTTTATTGTTCATTTCCCCCTTTTACTTGACAAAACTAAGTACTGGATTCTTTTGATGGCAGCGGAAATATGATCTGAATCATTAGAGGAAGTAAGCTGTCCTGCTTTAAATTACATAATCATAAATGACATTCCATTCTCAGGGCTCAGGTGATGCAATATGTTTGAAAAAATAAACAATAGCTAGACAAGTATGTGTCCTTAAAACAACCTTAAAGTTACCTCCTTTGACAGACTGATGGCTCAGGTTGCCCAGCTGGCATGAAAAGACATACTAAGTAATAAATCAAAATTCAGTAATCTGGAATAAGAATTAGTTATGTAAAACAACCATACTTGCATCCCATATTTTGTATCATTTATATTTTATTGGCCCATTTGTTTTAGGTGTTTTACAGCACGAGATCAGCTGGGATGCAAGAGTTTGGGATTGGGGGATCTTGGGCTTTCTTGGCTCAGCTGGGGCTACACTGGCAGTAGTTGCTCAGCCAGCCTAATTTGCCCTAGTGTAAATCCTCAGAATGGGGCATTCTGGGGAAGTGGTGAGGCCAAACAAGACAAGGACCTATACAAAGCCCTGTTCAGCATGGTAATGTGACCTATGTGCAATGCTCAAAACTTGGGCCCACCTCACCTGCTGGTTCAGCCTGCAGAAGACCCTCCCAGGGACTCCTGGATGGAATTTGGAATTTCAAAATTTCTTACTTAGGAATGCTCTGTTAATCTGCAAGGTTTTTTATGCTAGCATTTTATTCTACTGTACCATGTGATCTTACTGTTTAGCTGTCTTGATTTTGTAAGCTGCTATGCGAGCTTTGGCTGAAGACTGCCTTAAAAAATTACTTAAAAAAATAATAACTGGAGTGCTTGGTCTTAAAGGATGGCATTGATATAGAAGACATAATGGGCGCCTGGTAGAAGGGAGAGAACTAGTGAGACATGGTTGTCTCTGGATAAAAACTCTACAGGAAGGACAGGGAAGGACGTATTGGAGGTGGTGTTACCTGGAGGTCAAAGAGAGCACTGAGTCCAGCAAGCTAGAAATCCCAAAAGGGGCACTCCACTGCAGAACTGTTGTGGGTAGTGATACCAGGCTCCAAGAGTAACATAGTGCTGCGGACATACTGTTGTGCCCCTGATCAAAAGTCTCAGGAGATCTTGAGGTAAAGAAGGAAATCAAGGAAACATCCAAAAGTTGCAAGAATGGGTGACTTCAGCTACTGCTTCATAGACTGGTTACATAATGCGTTCATCACAACAAAGAGGTAAAATTTGTAGATACCCTAAATGATTGTGCCTTAGAACAGCTGGTCTGACTGGGAGGACGGTGACCATGGACTTAATATGGAGTGGCACATAGGACCTGTTGCGAGAGGTTGTAGATCCAAGTGACAGATAAAAGAAAGTACTTCTCCATGCAAAGCATAGTTAAACTATGGAACTTGCTCCCATAGTAGTCAGTGGAGTGCCATTTATTTCAGGCCACATGAGATTATTTCTCAGGAGTAGCAACATCTCTGCTTATTAAAAAGTAACAACAAATGCTCTTAAAATGGATATATTCCATTGCAAAACAGTCTAAGACCAGGTCCTCTGAGTATCACTGTGAATCTTTGGATGCCCCTGCTGTCAAATATAAGGTAGGCAGTAATCAGGGAAAGGACCTTCTCAGTGGTGGCACCCTACTTGTGGAATACGTTGCTAGTGTTGTTTGCCTCACCTATTCTAGTGTTGCTCACCTATTCTGAGCTGCAAATACCTTTTTATTCTCCAAGGCATTTTAACTGTGAGCTTTATTTCCAGTGATTAGTTTTTATGCTGCTCTCCCACCTGCTGTTTTAGATTTTATTGCTGTTGGGGTTTTTGGTATACATACAGTGGTACCTTGGGTTAAGAACTTAATTCGTTCTGGAGGTCTGTTCTTAACCTGAAACTGTTCTTAACCTGAAGCACCACTTTAGCTAATGGGGCCTCCTGCTGCTGCCACTGCACCGCCGCTGCACGATTTCTGTTCTCATCCTGAAGCAAAGTTCTTAACCCAAGGTACTATTTCTGGGTTAGCGGAGTCTGTAACCTGAAGCATATGTAACCCAAGGTACCACTGTATTATCATTGTTGTTGTATAATGGCACTTGAGTATGTTAAATATGTTGGGACGCGGGTGGTGCTATGGTCTAAACCACAGAGCCTAGGGCTTGCCAATTGGAAGGTCGGTGGTTCAGATCCCCGCGACGGGGTGAGCTCCCGTTGCTCGGTCCCTGCTGCTGCCAACCTAGCAGTTCAAAAGCATGTCAAAGTGCAAGTAGATAAGTAGGTACCGCTCCGGCAGGAAGGTAAACGGCATTTCCGTGTACTGCTCTGGTTCGCCAGAAGCAGCTTAGTCATGCTAGCCACATGACCCGGAAGCTGTCTGCAGACAAACGCTAGCTCCCTCGGCCAGTAAAGCAAGATGAGCACCGCAACCCCAGAGTTGTCCGTGACTGGGCTTAACGGTCAGGGGTCCCTTTACCTTTACCTTATTTTAAATATACCCTAGCAATGTTTCTTTGACGGACAGGATATAAATAGCTAAAACAAATACATCACACACAGAGAAATCTAAAATGGTGCCAACTATCCCTTCACTTCACTTCCCAGCTGATTCCTATATGCAAACACATTCTCAAGGTCAAAGCATGCTACCACTATACAAGGTAAATGGGTATCTGAATTACAGCACAAATGAGAGAAATATGAACTGAGCACTCTGGATTGTTTTAAAATTGCCTTGTAGAAAAACAGTGTGTCTGAAAACAGTTAAAATCTTCCAGCTGGACTGAAGAAAGATTAGTCTTAAAAGAGGAGGCTGCCTGATTCAGAACAGGACACAGCCACCTGTGGTTTTTACAGGTGAGGAAAACTGGAATAAAGAACAGCACAGAGAAAAGATTTTAAGCAGGCCACACTGTTTATTGAAAGGGCTTACAAAACAATTTGTTTCAGTGGGTCAGCCAAATAAATTTGCCATAAAATCACAGCATGAGAATGCCCCCTTTAAAATGCTTATGCCATCAACATAGTAATACTAAGACATCAAGGCCAAACTTAAAACTAACAGAGATTGATTGTTCTCAAAACTAAGAGCCTGCGTAATTTTACCAAATTAGAGTTTAAGATGCTTGGCCTATAAAATACAACAAATTTAAAAAAAAGAATAGAAGTAAAAGCTCCCTCATCTGTGTTCTCTTCAGGAGATCTAAAACTCCTTAAAACAGATCTAAGCTTATCCAGGATCTCGGCCCAAGCCTACAATGCCAGGCACGCTGCATCCGTTTGTGAATTCACCAGAGTTCACCCCAGCCTAAGTTAGTCAAACTCCTTCAGGGAGCCTG